AAAATGAATACATGGAGAGTCAAAACAATTATATTGTTGATCACGATCAGGCTTGCAAAATATAAACCAAATGTTTTGGTATGTTTTGTGAAAACTATGCAATCGCGAAATTTTTAAGTGAAAAAAAAAACAATTTCAAAATCTTAAGTTGAACATAATTGGTTATAATATTTTTGCTTCATTACTGGTGTGCACTATGTGCCTCTGAAGCCTTTGTGTAGTTGCCTAAATCTTTGTGTAGTTGCCTAAATCATTGTGATGCCCTTTTTGCCGTAATTATATTTATACTTATTATTATTAATATTATGTATTTCTGGTAATGAAACCAAGGATTCCTCAAAAGCGCCCTAGGCACTGCAGCAACCTGTATAGAGAAGACAATGAGAAGAAATTACAGTATTGAAGCCGGGAGGAAAACCCCAGAAGAATATTCTGGGGGAAACCCACGGAATCAGGCATGCAGGGACTGAAAACCCCACATTGTTTGCCCAGGCGGGATTCGAACCCGGGTCACAGCGGTGGAAGGCGAGAAAAGTACCGCAACGCCAACCTGACTCTTAATGCCCAATTATTGGTATAGCCTTTTGGTATAGACCAATCCGGGCACGCTATCCATGCTATCATGAAGGCCCCCTTCAATGGCGGAAGCATAGTGCTAGCTATTGTTCAGGTAATCGGTCACGGGGTAGTTGCTGTGTGCGATGGATTCCCCATTGAAGGGGGCCTCGTGGGGTGAGCGTACCTTTATCATGCGCACGGATTCGTCACTGAATAAGTGAAACCATCCAAGCTGCACTGAAAAGGCGACAGTTCGTCTGACCTTAATTTAAAGGTGTCAAGGATGCATGCCACATACTGCTGTCGTCACAGCTGAGAGTGCCATCAACTTATCCACGATGTTACCGTGAATTACAGGCGTCCAAGGGTATTGAACATGATGAGCTCAGGTTATTGCTCTATGAAAGGAAAGGTTTCCCCAGCTGGGAACGCGGTGATGCAAGGAGGAACAAAAACGCGCCCGACCGTGGTTGATTCAATGATGAGGGACCCAAGCAGAACAGATCCCCGGTGTCTTTTCTTGTTTTTACACCGAGGCATGTACCCTGGCTGCCATGTCTTGTTCCCCGACTTTTCTCTTTTGCGTTTCTATAGTTGGTTATTCAAAAACGGACTGAGGGTGTTAATGCGAAGCCACAGCTTCGGCTCCAAATTAGGAACTTCGGCTCGATGTGCCTTCATGATCTGTATCATGAATATCGAATCCTGTGTATATGAGGCCGAAGTTTAGAAAATGGCCTTTAAGATTGAACAGTAAGGGTTTTTCAATGCCACGGTAAAAGCCAGACATGACGCCGAAGCCTGATTTTAAAGCCAGAGTTTCGAGAAAAAAAATCCCTGAATGCCATATCAACTGGAAGGTTTTCTAGGTGAAATCTCTTATATCGCACACTTCCCCGTCAAAACTGTCACTGCAACAATGAATTGGGTTCCATTCCCCCAGTAAGGCTATTTCAAAAGCTGAGAAGGGTGTCACCATAAATGTGTTATTTAACAATAGAGGGCGCTTTCTAGGGTACGGCTACTGTTATGCGCATGCGCCGGTTGTTAATTGAATGATTTGGTTTTTTTGTTAACCCCCTCATCAGCAGCAGATCCAAAAATCTAACTGAAATTTGAAATATGTTTGGCATTTGATACATTTTCATGTAATCTTCCGGATTAAGATATATACTTTTCCGCTTAAAGCATCTCTTGTAGTCCGTGAAAATACCTGGCTAGACGAGGCGGGAGCCTGTTCTTGCGCCGTCGACTGCTTGCGGTCAACCGCGTAATAATTTCGTGTCCGCTTCGGAGGTCAATCAGCTACAGCAACGTATTGGTCCACTTTCTGCTGATGAGCAATCAAGCTAGAAAACGTCGATGCTAAAGTACTTGTCCGCGCAGTCAAGGGCTCCGTGGCGTCACTTCGAACCTAATTTAAATACACTGGCATCATTACCACTGCCTGAAGATAAGCACGGTTTCAAAAACAAATCATCTGATTTTGCTCTATACGTTTTAGTGGGAGTTGAACGGGTCACGATTCCTGTTTGTACCGAAGAGCTGTAAAGTATTTAATACAGCTCTATGGCCTGTGCATTATGTCAACAGTTTTTTCTGAAAAACTTGGCCTTGTTCTATTTATAGGTTAATTATATATAATTGGTTCATCAAACTACCCTTATATTTCTAACAGATTTTGGCAGCTCGTCAGTTACGAAAATATAGAAGCATTTTTGTCATACGTACGTGGCCCATTTGTTGGTTTGTTTAATGGGTTGTATCAAATTTCGGGGTAAGTTTGGGTATTGTATAAGACATATTGCCTTCAGTTTGGGTCTTTGTTATCAAAGTTGTCAATCGTCTTTGTGACTTTTGTTCCTGGCTTTCAACCAAATTACATCAAACCTGATGACAATTATAACAAGTTTACATATTAATCCCACGCCGAGGGAGCTGTTTGTGTCGTGATAGAATTACTGGTTGGCGTGCGAAGAAAACACGTCGATGGAGGTCACATCCCAGTATTAAAATCAAGCACAAACGACGGGTGTTTGGCAAGGATTTCCATGGCAAATGGGGATAAAGGGGCACTCGCAACGTTACCGGCCTATATTTGAATAAAAACTTGTGAAATTTAATTTTTTTTGATCGAAAAACGTCGGACTTATTTTTTTAAAAATGAAGCAAAACGGAATTCATTATTAAAGCACAATCCCTCAGCGGATTTAAAGAAAGTTGAAATTTTGAAAATTACCGCCATTGCATTCACTTTTGTTTTCCGGACACTTTTTGCAGAATATTTCTCAGTATGATAAAAATCGATATAGAGTGTGACATTAGGGGACTGAATATAAAATGATCGTGAAAATTGACCCCGAAATTAATCGTACTGTTGCTGACAAAAAAAAGTACGAAACGTTATCAGATCATTCGCAGGCTAACGACCAAAACGCTATTCATCCGGCCAGCAAATTTGGAGCATTTGGTTCATTGATATGCACGCTGCATCATCTCAAGACCTGCCTTCCGCAGCCATTGCTCTACATCGCCTCGAAATCGATCTAGCCTGACGTTTCAGAAGAAAAAAAATAAGGACCTTTTCGTCACTCGATACCTTAGTACATTAAATTAAGAGGTATTTTTTTGTGCCGCGAGTGTGAAGCGCTATAAGTCACAATCTAGATAATTAGGATTTAGTTGTCTCTCCGTAGAACGGGGTAATTTTTTTCAAGGTACTGAAGTATTGAGTTACTTTTTCTCTTTCTCTCTGTCCGTTCTAAAGCATCCTGTATTCCTTGAAATTGGTAGATTTTGATAATGTCAGATGAACCTTTTCGAGGTTGCAAGATGATTTTCCCAACTCGTTTTGTATTGTGACTTAATGTTTTCTTTGATGTATGCGAGTTCTGGTATGAAAACGTAAGACTTTATACATTAAGCATGACGCAGATGAGCTTGCAGGAAAGTTGCAGGCCATTACAAAATATAAAAAAAATCACAAGCTAGGTTATTCACCTTTCACGTGGGTACCGTTAGTAAATGATGTCAAAATATTGAACTGTGCGAACGATACCATAATATCGGGTGTTGATTAGCCGCGGTTCGACTCGGTTCGAGTCTGATTTTCTCGGTAAAATGCGTGGGTTTGGAGATTCCGGAGCAGTTCGTGGTAGCTTCAATGACCTGCTATGACAGTGATAGCTTCCCACATGGTTTGCAGCTTGCCAAGAGTTGACGCCAACAACAAATTACAGCTGGTCTCATGAAATAACACATTTTACACAGTGTGTGAGAAAATTGTGAAGATGTGTTTTGACAATTTGTGTATAGAAAAAAATTGTCCCCCCCCCCAAATGTTACACGTACCAGGAACACCCATACTGGAATTTGTACAGGAAGTCATTTCTTTGTTCTTGTGTACTAAAGTTTTCGAGTTTGAAAGTGGACCTCTAAAATGTTCCTGTTTAAAAAACAGAACTATAATTTCCTGCTGGGCTGAAATTCCGACTTAATATCCCTTACATAAAATACTTCAATTTGCGACGGATCAACACACCTTGGAAATTCTTAGTTTTTGAGTAAAATCCATATTATCTATTTCGTGTTAACCTTGTGGAGACAAGTATCAGTATAAGTATTCACTTATAGAAATTGCTCGGTGTTAACGTATACATTTTTGGTTCCATATTTGTACACATGTCTCCACAGGGGACCGTGTACCAGATCAAATCTCGATAAGTCGCGCAGGATTTTGTTTTGCATAATTACGCCTAAAATAGAAAGATATCCCGTCTCTTTGTAGGAGGGAGAGCCTCGGCCCTTATTAAAGCCTGAAATTCGCCCACAGAGTGATTTATGACGGCCCGTGTGAGGAAACGTGGGCAGAATTATGTCAATATTAAGAAAAGAACCCCATCCAAAATGTCAACGTGTGGTCATGAATACTTGACACACTCACGTTCGTAGGCAATATTGACAGTGTGGCACTCCATAGCAAGCACGCATTGTAAGGAAACAGGCGCAGGTGTTCAGAAAATTGTTTACGGACAGGTTTTTTTTTTCTCCCTACATTTTATTTTATAATTATTTAATTGTATCGGAGTATTTTAAGTCTGGTTCCCGCCCACACAAAAAAGGTAGAAGTTGGAACGATAAAAGGGAGAGAGCAGGAGCCAGGCTATAAAACTATTTTTAACCATGATGTATGTACAACGCGCGCGCATTGCGCAGATGTTTGAAAGCTGTCTTTTTCATGGCAACGGTCAATATTATTATTTTAACATTTTTTAATCAATCCAGTTATCCTTACAATATTCAAGTTAACCAATATTTTGTTCCCAGAAAAACTGTGTGAATATCTTATATTTTGTGTGTTGAAAAGACTGCTTTGTACTATAAGGTTACACTTTTTATGAATTTTTCTTATGGACAATTTGTTTACGTTTCTTCTTTGCCAGGACTTTTTGTAAATGTTCAGGAATCCGTGAATGCGTCGGCAGGGGAGCCGACGACTATTCCATGTAGTTACACAGACGATAAACAAGAGACCAGCACCTTGAGTGTTCGATGGACACGGATTTTGGGGAACGGACCCACCGAGGTTCTCCTGACAAAAACGGGTTCGTCTATAGAAGGGAAATGGTATGAGGAAGAACGTGCAACAGTCGTCGACCAGGCAGCGTTGAGGATTTTTATAGTCTCCAGTCAAGACGCTGGAAAATACACGTGCACCATCGGAGGAACACCAGGAACTACTGAGCTTTTTGTTGACAGTACGTATTTGTTTTAATGAGTAAACAAGCCTGAATATTTAAAATTTTAACCATTTGAGATATTTTATCAAGGTGTCTGTAATATATTTTGCCGTTTTCAAAGAATGCCGCCGACCGGAGAGTTTCATACTAATGGGAAGACTTACTCAGAAATCTCCCCGAAGATACGCCCAGTTCCAGTTGTGACAAGTACCCGCCTCAATATTTCACTTTCTGAGAGGCACACTAAACTCTTGAGGGCGCAATATCTCGGATTTAAAAATGGCCGCGCCCATAGACCAACACATTGACAGCGACACAATGTAAACAAAATAACCACTTTTCTGACAAGATAACATATTTGTGCTTGCCTTGCAAACTGAAATATGTTCTCCATGTTAACTTTGGCAGAAAAAAATTATGTTTTAGCCAGGTTTGTGGGGGTGATTGTGGATTTGTTTCAATGCAATTCAAATGGCGATTGTGTACTGACTACTGACCGGGCTGTACTTTACAACGGGCATGACGGGCCATCCATGGCCATGCCATGCATGCTCCTAAAATGCACTTCAGAAACATTTCCAATTTTGAAAATGCACTCGACTCTTCACAGACTTTTGTACTCGACCACAGAAGTGGCACCTGGATAACAGTAAGAAACTATTCAAAATTACAAACAAATTATGTCATGACGTATGTCAATCTACTTTAAGGTTGAAAAGGTCATTTTGGGACGATAAAACACCCTCGACTCTGATTTGATCAAAACTAAGGAGGAGGCCTACACTACACAATTGCCATTCAAATACATCTACTAGTCCCATAATAAAAATTACTGTACTTCCTCCATAATTAATGAGCCAAACAGCGAAATGTGCTTTCAGTTTCATTCCTAAAAAGTTGTGTTTCACGAATTTGAAATCGAGACTGTTTTTTTTTTTCCATTGGATATTTGCTATGGAAGCACTTGCCTGATTTATTATGACCATGGAAAATCAAAAGTTGAGAACTGCATGATCCATGGCATCGAGACAAATTCTGCAGTCAATTTGGAGGACCTCTCCCTGTAGTTCTTCTGAAAAAACAGGATGACCAGGTGACGAGATCACATACCGAATTGAATGTTTCCTCATTATTAACCGGAGAAAAAGCTTCCATAGCAAATATCAAATAGGCCACATCCAAAAATCAGGAAACACAAGTTTTTAGGATTTGTGGCTCGCAATACGGTGGAAGTCCAGTACATATTTGAGACACATTTATGGGGCTACAGCTCATCAAGACATGCCAATCAACGTTTGATTTGTTGCGCAGGTACACCAACAATTCAACCAGAGTTGCGAGAACTCGTACTCACCGTGGGGCAGATGCTAGAACTGACGTGCATCGGGGCAGGCACGCTGACATGGAGCTGGCCGCAGCACGACGAACAGTCCATCACGTTCTCCCGATTTTACGACCCATCATCTGGATGGCAAACAAGCGAGTTGCGAATCCGGCAAGCGTCCGTGTCGGACACCGGGGAGTATCGTTGCATCTCGGACGACAGGTGGCCATCGGAACCAGTTTACGTTTATGTCACCAGAGAAGACGGTAACTTTCGGACTATTTTTTTATCCCGAACACATTTGTCTAAAGGTCTGAAGCAGACCGGTGAACTACTAACCGGCAGGCCAGATACGGCTAATACTGCCATGTACTGACACGGCAACGAATCATCAAAGAAAAGGCAATTTACGACAGTGAAATGTCCCAAATTCTGGCAACTTTTGGCGTTGAAATCACTGTAAAGTTGAGGTTTCTGCCTGAATTGACATCACACTTTTGCTCATGAGCATAGAAATTCGCATAAGCATGAAAATCAAAAAGGCACCAAAACATTTTTTAAATGGCAAAACGAAAAAATTTGAAAAAAAAGGGTTGCAAGATTGCATTAAACGAAATTACATTGCATGTTCTTTAAGTCTCCAGGACGTCAATGCACATCTTTCCAAGGTTGATAATGAGGATGATACAATGTAAATGGTCCAAGACAAAATGCCTTCTTGATAGTTGAGAATGTTCCTTTCCTTTAATGATTATCCTAACTTCTTCATTAAGAATCTTGTTTTCTTAATTAAAAGGGCCGCTATTTTTGGACGCTGAGCAAACAGACCTAGTTCACTTCTGGGACGAGCCCTCCCTCATCCCCTGCCGGCTGGCCATGCCCAACGCTACCGTCACTTTGCAACCCCAGGAGATGTTTGACCCCGAGGTCATGACCTATGACCCCAGACGAGGCTTCGCCTTACAGGCCAGGATGCCGGATTACAGCGGCAATGTCTCGTGTCGCGCCACCATCGGAAACCTGACAGACACCCAGAATTTCACGGTTAATTACGTCGGTGAGCAGTTTAAACTACTTTCTGGGTTGCAATTAAGCAATGTCGTGGAGTTTCTGAGCAGGAAATAGTGTTTAGGAGGTTTTTGCGCTAAAGCATGAATCAGTGTTCGGTAGTTTGCATGAAATTTGTAACTTTAGCTAGTGTGGAGAATTTGCGATAAGCGATTCGCTATATTTCTGCTGTCTCACCCTGAAAAATTGTACGGTTTTGCATCATAAAAACCTATACATGCCTATATCTTTGCTCTTTAAAAACATACTTTTGATTTCAGAACCTAGTAAAAACTTACATTGATGAATCAATCAATAATTCATATTGTCCTGAAATTTGAAGTGTTTACATGAATTGACACATTTTTAGCATCTGTTATATGCATTCCTCACGGTTACTTATATTTCAGCAAACCAATAAAACTGAGCATCTTTAAATTTGTTTTTGTTACAGTTAAACCCAAACTGTCTGTTGAGAGCCCCGAAGAAACGATTCTCGAGCACGGCGAGCTGGAGCTGATATGCAGCGGCAGCCTGCCCATACAGTGGTTCACACCCAGCGGTTTGGATGCCAGACTTCAAATCGTCCACTCGCTAAGCTACGCCCCCTCCCAGCCTCCCACGTACCAGAGCACGCTACGTCTGGCCGACACGCTGTATACAGATACGGACGAGTACGCCTGTAAATACGACAGATACATGGAGTTTGAACAACCCGAATTGGAATCCAGTGTTTATGTTTTTGTCAAGTCGAATGGTATGTAAAGCTAACTCAAGTTTTTCTAAAAATTTTCTACAGTTCTTTGGTACATTTCTTTAATGTTCTTAAACTGTTAGTCCCTGTACCGCCCCAAACCGCTTGCCTGTTACTCCCTGTACCGCCCCAAACCACCTTGCCTGTTACTCCCTGTACCATCCCTAACCACCCTGCCTGTTACTCCCTGTACCACCCCAAACCACCCTGCCTGTTACTCCCTGTACCTCCCCAAACCACCTTGCCTGTTACTCCCTGTACCACCCCAAACCACCCTGCCTGTTACTCCCTGTACCGTCCCAAACCACCCTGCCTGTTACTCCCTGTACCGCCCCAGACCACCCTGCCTGTTACTCCCTGTACCGCCCCAAACCACCCTGCCTGTTACTCCCTGTACCGCCCCAAACCACCCTGCCTGTTACTCCCTGTACCGTCCCAAACCACCCTGCCTGTTACTCCCTGTACCGCCCCAAACCACCCTGCCTGTTACTCCCTGTACCGTCCCAAACCACCCTGCCTGTTACTCCCTGTACTGCCCCAAACCGCTTGCCTGTTACTCCCTGTACCGCCCCAAACCACCTTGCCTGTTACTCCCTGTACTGCCCCAAACCACTTGCCTGTTAGTCCCTGTACCGCCCCAAATCACCTTGCCTGTTACTCCCTGTACCATCCCAAACCACCCTGCCTGTTACTCCCTGTACCGCCCCAAACCACCCTGCCTGTTACTCCCTGTACCGTCCCAAACCACCCTGCCTGTTACTCCCTGTACTGCCCCAAACCGCTTGCCTGTTACTCCTTGTACTGCCCCAAACCACCTTGCCTGTTACTCCCTGTACTGCCCCAAACCGCTTGCCTGTTAGTCCCTGTACCGCCCCAAATCACCTTGCCTGTTACTCCCTGTACCATCCCAAACCACCCTGCCTGTTACTCCCTGTACTGCCCCAAACCGCTTGCCTGTTACTCCTTGTACTGCCCCAAACCACCTTGCCTGTTACTCCCTGTACTGCCCCAAACCGCTTGCCTGTTAGTCCCTGTACCGCCCCAAATCACTTTGCCTGTTACTCCCTGTACCACCCCAAATTGCCCAAGGATGGTATGATGATATAGATTTGTCAAGAAATATATACAATGTAATAAATACAGTGTGATACAATGTAGTCACAGTTGACCTCGCAAGATCCAGAAAAAATCACTCTTGTTCTCTAAAAAAACATTTTGGGAAATTTGTCAAATTTTGAACCCAGACGTGGAGCACTTTTTTCTACCGCCTCATGATAACATCGTCCACCTCAAGACGGGCGTTGAGAGCTTCACTGTGCCTTGCCGAGTCAGCGACCCAAACACCACCCAGCCGGTCACCATCAGTGCCTACTTCACGGAGACCATCATTGAGTTCCAAAACTTTATCACGGACTGGAATGTGAACTTTGACCCCAAGGTCGGTTTCCAGGTTAGCCCGAACCCCGACACGCAGCCCATCCAGAAACTGACGGTCTTTTGCAATGCTGAGTTTGAGGACGGCACCCAGGATGTGGCGTTTAAAGTTGTAGTAGAGGGTGAGTTGATCTGAGTTCTTATACCAAAACCTGGCCCAATAAATGGGGATGGAGGATTAAACTGCCTCTTTATAAATAAATATATTGATTCAATATACAAACGAGGGCCCTTCAATGGAGAACCCATTGTGCATAGTGCTGAATTGATCCTCCCGGTTCAGTTCGGTTCCCGTTCGGAATTTTTTTAGAACATCGGTTCATGTTCGGGTTCGGAAGTACATGTACCATGTACACTGGTGTGCAAAAGTATTTATGCTGTACGATTTTCAACTTGAAATTTCCAAACCTGTGTCTTGTGTCATTGTTTTAGTCAGTGATATTCAACTTTCCAACACCAAACATCCTTTCCTTCAAGGATCTTGCTGCTTCGTGACACTAATTTATAGGGAAAGCAAAGTTTCAGAACATCCGGCCCACATCTGAAAAAAAAAAAACAGCCTATAGCTAGATGCCAGCTTCTTGTAATTTTCAAAACCTATTGCAATGTTTGTTTTTTTACTGCTTTCCAGGGGCACTAGAGAACTACTTCCAGACAAAAATTGAGCCGTCAGCAAGTCGGCTCGTTCAGGGGATGGGGTCGTACAGTTTTGCCTGCACGGTATCAATCCCATTCTTTGAATATCCTAGTTGGACCCTAGACTACAAACCACAGGTGGAGTTCACCTTCCCAAATCAGGAACAGGTGGGTATTAGTAGGGGCGTGGCTTAAGGTTGGTGGGGGTGTCATAACCCTAAAAAAAAAAAAAAACCTCCCCCTTCCCAAGAAGTGTTCATTCTTGTTTTGCAAAATGTTCACTATTGTCGGTAAAGTTGTGTATTTGTGGCTTAAAAGGTTTCGCTCGTACCACCCCCCCCCCCCCCCCCAATACAATTCGATGTCATTACAATTCAAAGTTTTGGGGATCATTTATCATTCCCATTTTTTTTCAGAACTGAAGAAGAATACTATAAACAGCTCGTCTCTGACTAATTGTTTTTGGTTATGTTTTTTTTTCAGTTCACTGGTTCTTTTTAATTTTTGTTTTTTCCATTTTCCACAGGACAAGGCGCAGAACAACACCAAAGTACGAGAAACCCAAGAAATCATTCCGCCCAATGTAATCTTTGGGAGCGAGCTTACGCTCAGTCAGGTCAGCCTGCGCAACAACGGGACCTTCAAGTGCCGTATCTTCAACATTGAGCGGACAGTGACGCTAAACACCTCCTTGCTCGTTCTGGGTGAGTAGAAAGTTAGGCACGTGAAGACGAGACTAGACCCCGAAAAACTGCTAAACATATTTTCACTGCTAAGCGAAAGTCAGCTGGGAACCAGTCTAAAGCAGCATATTTTGTGTGGCATTTTGGCTGGTAACCTTTTTTTTTTCTGCTGAGCAGATATTTTCTGTGCTTAGTGAATTTCTCACTCAGCTACTCCACGAAATTTGACGCTGCCGCACACAAGTACCCCCTCAACGGTAAGGAAGGGAGAGTTGGGGGAGACCACTTGGAGCGACATTCGAACGCATTGCCACTGACCCCTGACGTTCGCGCAAAAGCGCTATGGCCTTGTGCACATTCAGAAAACAAATAGTTGCGCGTACTTCGCGCCATACGCAGGAAAGCGCGTATTTGCAAAAAAAGTTTGTTGTGCATAAAAATCAGGTGTGTTTTTCAACGCAACGAAAAACGGTTCTCTTTAAAAAGGGGTTTTTCTGATTGATTGTCTTTCCGGTGTATTTTCTTTAGAGGAAGGAATCGTGGAGCTGATGCACTACCCGCCCGACCAAGAAACAGTCGAGGCGGTCGAGGGTCAATCACAAGTCTGCCTCCAAGCTCAGATGATGTCGTTCCCCGTCGCCCAGTATTGGTGGAGTAAAAACGGCGTCAACCAGACGAACGAGGCAGCGCCCCGCTTCACCGCGCTCGAAGAATCGCAGCCTGTGGGCGACACGCTCCTCGTCTCCGGATGCATATCGAACCTGACGGTGGATGACGGCGGGTCGTACGACGTGATTGCGGCCAACGAGTACCACACCCGGACGCTTACCATTCAACTCTCTGTTCTCGGTGAGTGAAAATAAAAACGTAGCTTATGATACTGTGAGGTGTAATTTTACTGTTGGTTACACAACCTTCACGTTTGGGGGTTCTTGAGTGCGATTGAAGGCGTGAAACAATTTCAGGTCGAATTTGCTGCAGCCAGATTTGAACATTCTGAGTACAGTACCGGAGGTCACGGGTTCACACCCTACTCCAATCTATATCTTTGCTCAACCTAGACTGGAGGACAAGCTGCTACACAGTCGTGTTTTGTCTGAAGGCGCCAGCAATATTTACTAGCACAGCACTGCGTAGCGTGTTTATCATTTGCTGGCCTCGACATGGCAAACAACTTGACTAATATGATTTTGGATGGAAAGTCATTTATGCGGCCACTGAATTGCATGTGCATTACGTTTCCGTAAAATAAAAGGGCCAATGATGTAACTCACCTACAAAAGGGAAAAACTAGATTAAAATGTACTCGCATCTGCTGCAATCACACGAGGTATCAATTGATTTTATCAACCAGAAATTCCGGAAGTCAGCCTGACTGTTTCACCAGACCCCATCTACCAGGACCCGCCCCTCTACTACACGGAGCAGAACTACAGTCTGGTCTGCCGCGCCCGCGGCCGTCCCGCCCCCGTCCTCACTTGGCAGTGGCAGGCCTGCCCGGACCCGCTCTGCAACTCAACCGCCTTGCAAACCGACGAAATCCCCTGGGTGCCGGTCGAAACCCAGTCGTGGGCGCAGGCGCGGTTCCAACCTACCTCCAAGTCCAACTGGAGTTCGGAGTCGGTTTTGAGTGTGTGGATGCCGCCTAGGTCCGGAGTGTTCCGCTGTGTCGGCCGGTCTCCGTCCAACCGAATTCAAGATGTGGCATACGACGTCTTAGAATACAGACTCACCGGTAAGTCTAATATACAAACACTGTCCCCGTTTGTTGAAACAGTTTTGTGACATTACTTCTATCTAAATAGAAAAGATTGTAAAATTGTAATTTTTGAGCTGTATCAATGTGAACACTTAAATATATCAATAACTTTTGATTCACATACTCAAAAAAATGGTGTCATTTTATCGCTGTAATTTGCTCAGGAATAAGGCATATATTGGTCCAGATTTCTTAGGCCATATTTTCCCCTTGTTTTGCTATAAAGCAAATTTATGCACTGAGCAAAAAGCTGGTGCAAACCAGTCACGTACACAATTCATTGATGTTTTGGGCTCATGACCTTTTTATTCCTAAACAATTTTTTTCTGTGGTATAGCATTTTGCTGTTCTTAGCAGCTCCGTTTAATTGATGCTTCCTTGTTCAAAATTCTTCTAGACTTGAGGTTCAGTCTGCACGCTGCCCCAGAGCTGAAACCCGTCTACACTTTTGACCAGGCCAGCCTGGTGTGCAAGACTAACATCTACGCGTTCACCGAGGACGTCACTTGGGACTGGACCCGGGCCAGTAACTCGTCGGCAGAACCCATCCCGATCGGCCCAGACGATGAGAGAGTCACGCGACTCGGAAGAACGGGGTACCATTACTCGACGGAGCTGACAATTAGCGCTGCCTTGGCCAACAACATGGGGTTGTACCGCTGCACGGCAAAGAAACGGAGCACCGGCGAAAGCGTGGTTGTTTACCAAGTTCAGCTGATTGTAAAAGGTAAATACAGCTGAGTTTTGTGTGTGTCATAGATTATATCTGATTCCTTTTCAGGGGCAGTACAATCTTATCTCACTTGACTGTTTAATCCTTCGTTTTGTGCAGAAATTGTTCCACCCACTTTTACCAAAGAACTGCAACCGACGTACGAGCTGGACAAGAAGAAACAAGTCCCGTACGACTTCGTCCTCGAATGCGTGGCCACGGGGGACCCACTCCCCGATGAAGTCGACTGGTCCAAAGACGGCCACCCGATCACGGCGCAAAACGGCAGCGTCGCGGACCTGGAAACGTTCCGCGCCATGAACGACACGCTGGTCTCAACGTTGTTTCTGGCGCCAGAGATTACCCCAGCCCACGGGGGGATGTACGAGTGTTTTGTCAAGAACAACGGTGGGAATGTGTCATCACAGGGACAAGTACTCCTCCAAGGTAAAAAAAAAAATAAAGATAAAAGATTTGTGCAATTTATTGACAGATGTTTGCTTTATTATTGCGTACTGAAGTAAATTTGGAATTTTTTGGTAGTTGAACAAACCATGGGCAAGTTGGATCAAGGACCATTGGTTAACTAGTGGTTGGTTTGTGACATATGTAGCGCATGGGCGTTGAAGTTGAAGCACAAACGACTCTAGTGGGACTATTGTCATGTCAACGACCGTAAGAAAATGGCGGTTGGAGAAAGTCAGAAAATCCGCAGTGCACGGAAAGAAACTGGAGACGCAAATTGTGTGACATCGCAACAAGTTTTCGCGCTGCGAATTTGCAAAAGTTGACCACTTTTCAACTCATGAATTTCACAGCCAATGATTCATGACGTCAAATTTGATTTCCACATCAAACCGGTCTTAAAAATTCTCAATATTTGCTGGTTGTTATTTTCTGACAACATCAGAGAGTCCAACAGCCGTCATTAGCGAGGACGTCTACACTCGCAACGTCGGCGACAACCTGACGATACCCTGCGACACGACCGGTGAGCCCTCGCCTGACATCGTCTGGAAGAAACTGCCACGAGGCACCAGCGAGCAAGAAGACGTGCCCACCAGACTGTACGACAACAGCGCGAAGGCGCTTGTCTTCAAGCGACTGCAGGAGACCGATAACGGGGAGTACACGTGCATCGCCCAAAACCAGCACGGCCAAGACCAGGACACCGTAACCCTTGTCATCCGTAAGAAAGACCAATCCCTTAAACTCCAAAATTTGTCAGACAATTACCTGGCACTATAAAATTTGAGCTGTGTTATGCACTTACTTACAGTACAATAATTTGTTAAGACAAATGTGATAAATTTCCAATGTCTGACTGTTAGTTGACTGCCCAATCAACAGAAATCCATTTAGGCCATCAGCCTCAGTCTTAAAGAGGTTGTGGAATGCTCGAAGACATTTCCGTCATTTTTTTGGGTATATGTAGCCTAAGGTGTGATGAAATAAAAACGACTATTGTTTCTGGCATAAAATGAGTACAAAAGGTACTTTTCAGAGCTGTTTTTCAAGTCCTGTCATGCCTGTTTCGACCCGAACGTGCAATTTGTATAAAAGTCGTCATTGCGGGCAGCAAACAAAACACAGTAAATCGTGACGTAATAAACAGGACTCCCGATGCAGAGTAGCATAAACGAGTCCTGTTTATTACGTCACGATTTACTGTGTTTTATTTGCTGCCCGCAACGACGACTTTTATACAAATTGCACGTTCGGGTCGAAACAGGACCTGAAAAATGGCTCTCAAAAGTACCCTTTGTGCTCATTTCATGACAGAAACAATAGTCGTTTTTATTTCATCACACCTTAGGCTACATATACCCAAAAAATGACGGAAATGTCTTCGAGCATTCCACAACCTCTTGAAATTTTGGCCACCGGTATAATCCAGAGTTGGAAAATACGTGATAGCATTGCAGCGGTGGCAGCTTTTTAGGTGTTATCACCTTTTTTCAAAATGTCCATCAAAATGCTTGTTACCACTCCAGGGGCTGTATACCTTGCGCATGCGCACTATAATTATTTATGCCCCGATTTGATACTGACCAAACCCCCAGGCTGATGGCCTAATTGTAGAATCCTCAAACCCCACATCTTTACAAATATTTTGTTTGTGATGGGTCACTTATACTCTCTTTCATTGTTCTCTTTTCTCATTACAGACAGGGAGAACTCGTACCTCATGCCGCTACTTGCCGGCGGCAGCATTGCCCTTATCATCTTTCTGATTCTACTCATCCTAATGATAGTCATGGCCAAACGGGTAAAGCAGAAACACGGGGGAATTTTTTCGAAACTTGGGCTACATCCCAGCTTTGGCTTCACATCTGACTGTGGCTCGACATTACGCAAGCTCAACATGCACCAATATGGTGCAAGACTTCCCCAATAGGATCCCAAAACTGTCTGAAGCCAAAGCTGGAGTTATACCCCAGTTTCAAAAACATTAAGAGTCTAAGCTGTACCTTTATATGCAAAGCCGCTTGAGGGCGCTCTTTAAACACAAACATTAAAAAAATTCCATTTCCTACCACAAGAAACTGTTCAAAATTACAACAAAAATGTCATTAGAGTTAAGAGAAGTCTACTTAAGGTTAAAAAAAAGTTATTTTTGAATGATAAAAACACCCCTGACACTAATTTGTTCAAAGCTTAAGAGGGGCGCTACACTACACATAGATCATGGAACAAATAGATCATGTTTGGTTAAAAATTTGGGTGGTTTTACTCTTCGTTTTCAGAATTGCCGATTGGCTCGGAAGGCCAAGCGCAATTCCGAGGGTATGGAGCTGGGCCTGGTCAACCCCCGGTCCCCGCGAGTGCCCATGTCTCCGTTCCGCATGTCCTTCAAGGAGGAGTTCGGGGACCAGCTGCCCTTCGACTCCAAGTGGGAGTTCCCCCGCGATCGACTGAAGCTCGGTGAGTTATTTTCAGTAATGGATGGATTTGAGGGTTGGTATTTTACAGCAAATATTGTTACACTGACCTAGATTTTGTGTTCAGAGCTGCTGGAAAAGCCAAGAAAAACATGTTGTTCTTCTTGTCTGGTTCCCTGACCTTACTTCAGATCAAACAGAGCAAAATGTTACACTGACCTGTTTAAAGTTTTGAGTTCATAGATATTGCACCTCCCCCCCCCCCTCCCCCCGCCTTAAAAAAAAATGTTGTACTTGTTGTCTGGTTCCCTGACCCTACTTCCGACGAAACGGAGCAATTTACGTTACACTGACCTATTTTAAGTTTTGAGTTGATAGATGTTGGGACCCCCCCCCCCCCCTCAGAATGCTGTTCTTGTTGTCTGGTTCCCGGACCCTACTTCAGATGAAACCAAGCAATATATAGACATCAGGGAATTGTCACGTCAGGGAACCAGACTAGCTGGCTTGCCGATTGCAAACAAAATATAACTGATTGCAAACAAAATGTGGACTAACTAAATTTTGTAATTTTGGGACAGTATTTGAAAAAAAGTCCTTTTTTTTTTCCAACGATGGTAGGCTGACCATCTTTGGAAATTGTTTAAAAATTTCACTTTTCTTGAAAATGATGATTTTAAGCATTACAGACAAGAACTACTAAGAGAAAACCACATTTGCATTCTAAGTGACAAGAGGACTTGCATAAAAGTTTAATGTTTGTGTGTTTTTGTTTCGTTTCTTTCCTCCTCAGGCTCTGTGATTGGTCAGGGAGCGTTTGGCATGGTCCTTAAAGGAGTGGCAGCCGGGATAAACAAGAACGAGAAATACGTCCCGGTGGCTGTCAAAACTGTCAAATGTAAGATTTGCAAAGTCTGGACCTGTGCAAAATTACTCAAACTGAAATTTCTGCATTTGTCATTTTCTCCATCAAATGCAGAAATTTTGATGGAGAAATTTCAACAAAGTAAAGAAACGTCATGTAAATCATATCAGTACAAGCATTTATATATGTTTTATATATGTGGTGTATATGGTGTTTGTGTTCTTGGGCAAGACACTTTACTACAATTGCCTCACTCCACCCAGATAGTATAAGTAGGTACCTGTGAGGGTAGAGGCCAGAATGCGCTGATCTCGAGCTGCCGCTGAAAATTGGTCTCATGGCCTGATGAACAGGGGTAATAATTGTGAAGAAGAAAATCGTATAAAAGTGCTACATCAGCATTATAAAAGCAGAAACGAACCACAAGATGGTGATTTTATTGACAAAGGTCAGAGGTCGTAATCAGCATGACATCTTGGCTTCCTTTTCAGCTGACGCAAGCTACGTCGACCGTAAAGCGCTTTTCGGAGAGCTGAAGATGCTCATCCAAGTCGGGCACCATCTCAACGTTGTCAACTTCCTCGGCGCCTGCACGCAAGATTGTAAGTACGGCCATTCGTATTGAAGTACGGGCTCCGTGCATAAGTGCCCCCTCAACGGTAAGAAAGGGAGAGTTGAGGGAGATAGGAGCGCGAACCATTATGCACATACGCCCTCCCATGTTTGCGCATGGAGCTGGTATCCCTTTATTACAGCAAAGTAGGAAATTTTGAGGGTTTTTTGAATTTTTGCAAAGGAATCTTAAACGTCAGGGTGTACATCACCCCGACACAAAATTCCATCTTACGAATAGATAATGCGGTACCTGCTGCTATGTACATCAGATTCGATCCAGCCAACCGATCCCATTAGCTGGGTGGTCGAGTGGTAAAACATCTGCACTAGAAAGCAGGAGGTCGTGGGTACGAGTCCCACCCGAGTGATTTTTTTTTCCAACTTTCACTCGGGAGGTAACACACTGAGTATACAGTGTTTATACGTCGGTGAAGGGCAAACCCAATTTGATTTACATCACCCCGACGCAAAAATTCCATCTTATGAATCTTAAACGGTTATCTTATAAACAAGGCTGTGTTTTCTCCTGTATCACAAAACTTGAGCTTCAGCAATTACAAACGCTTCACTGGGCACATTTTTGAACAAAATTTCTTTTAGAAAAATTGCATAATGTTCTGCAAGTATGAATTACGAAATTTATACAAGATTATCTTGTTAAAAATATTTGTGTTTTCCCGCCTTTTTACAAAATGGCAGCTCCTTTTTCTTGTCAGCCTTGAGTTCTGCATGCACACCATGACCTCAGACACTGCTTTACTACACTGGACAAATCTTGGACGAATTGCATTGTGAAAAATTGTGAAAAGAAAGTTGAAAATTGGAAAAAAATAATTGAAAATTGTGAAAAGTCTGTGAGGTAAGACTTCTTTCTCATTTCAAAATTCATGCAAAGAATCTTAGATGGCAATCTCATTTTGTTCTCCCGCCTTCACGAATTCACAGCACCGCCCCTGGTCATCGTAGAGTTCTGCCCCTACGGCAACCTGAGTGACTACCTGAAATCCAAGCGTGACACCTTCCAGCCCACCAAGTCGCCGGCGGTCAAGAGCGAGCAAGAGGAGAACACGGAGAACGAGCTGAACTACGCCGACCTGTGCCTGCGGGAGGCCTGCGTCAGCGAGCCGCCGGCCGCGGAGTACGAGCTGATTGACAAGGAGGCCAAGCGGATGGCCGAGAAATGCTTGTCGGTCGAAGACCTGGTCTGCTTTTGCTTCCAAGTGGCCCGGGGAATGGAGTTCCTGGCATCCAGAAAGGTACAGATGTCTAAAATAGCCTTTTCATGAGATTTTGGAGGGCTTTGGGTCATAACCTAGTGTGGCCTAGTGGTTAGGGTTCGTTACTCATGATCAGAGGGTCAGGGGTTCAAATCCAGCTGCTGGTCAAATGTTGTGTCCTTGGGCAAGCCACTTTACCCCACTTGCCTCTCTCCACCAAGGAGTATTAATTGGTACCGGCATTAGCTGGGGAGTAACCTGCGATGGACTGGCATCCCATCCAGCTAGAGTAGAAATATTCTCAGTCATTTTTTTATGCTTGGTAAACGCTGGCCTGATGGGCCACATTGGCTTGTGACAGACTTTACTTACTTACCTAAGGGTCATCATGCAGGTTTTTGAGGGTTTTTTGTTTCGGCAGTTGGTAGGCCAGGAACTTCAGGTTTTTAATGTTTCCAGTACTGAGATTGACCATTGCACTCTGTGGGTTTTTTTTTTTCTAAAGCTTTTGGTCATTGCAAAATCTTTGTTATATTTTTGATGACTTCAATATTTTTTTCATTTTTTTCCCCCAGTGCATACATCGGGACATGGCAGCTCGCAACGTGCTTCTCGGAGGAAACAATGTTGTCAAAATTTGTGACTTTGGACTCTCGAGGAGTTTTTATCACGACACAGACTACATTGGAAGTGGCAAGGTAGGCTGGAGAACAATTTTTTTGTTGTTGTAAATTTGGTCATTAAAAATCAAAGCCCTGTATTCAATTCTGGACTGGAATTATCATTTTTAGTTGTAAACAAAATGGATCAGAATCTTTAATGTAAATGTGGCATAACCAAACTATGCAATTTTTTCTTCAAAATAGCACGGTAATAATAATTATCCTGGATTGGACATTTGGGAGACATCCCCATAGACTTGTGCACAACATTTTTCAAACTTAAATGTGCCCTAACCCAATATTCCCTTGTCCTTTTTCCATGAATTTCGGTATGTTTACTAATGAGACCACGAGCAACGAATATAATCTAATTGCGACATACAATTTTGCCTCTAAAGGGGGCTGTAACATTAGCGAGACATGAAAATGTCTCCCTAATGACCGATGTCTCCCATCGTGCGAAGAAATTACGATAAAATGTCTCCTTAATGGTACCATTACATGTATAATAGTAATAGTAATAACAATGCGTATTTGTAAAGTGCACATATCCACCAGTATTGGTGCTCAAGGCGCTATATCATAATTATCTTGGTCGTTGGGCCAATGAAACATTCCAAATACCATCTCAGCTCCCTGGGGAGTATACAGCTCCATGCTGCCATTTTGGCGCAAAGCAGCTAAATCAACCATCTCTGCCCTCACAGGTACCCATCTACTCCTGGGGGGAGAGAAGCAATGAGTGACAAAGTGCCTTGCCCAAGGGCACACGGACCATAACCCCAGGCTGGACTCGAACCCACAACCTGCAGAATTACCCGCAGACCGCAAATTCAATGCTCCAGACCGCGAGGCCACGACACTCCACATGCTTAGGGTTGCATGAAATTTTTTTGTTAATTTTGATGTCGGCGTTCAATTTTTTCTCTTACAAAAAAATATTTTGGTTTTGTTCCAGGGCCTACTGCCAATTAAGTGGATGGCGCCAGAAGCAATCTTTGACAAGATTTTCACCACCTACAGTGACATGTAAGTACTTGATCCCGATTAGCATGTTTAATTTATCTTTCTTTCATTTGTCTCTTACATAATTATTAATCTTGTATTTTTTTTTAACATAGTTCATATATTGCCCTTCTGTACAGTTACCTGAATGTTCTTTGCAATATGGAAATAAATGTTAAAGGTACAGTCCATCATTTGTAATTTGTGCGTTTTGTTCATTTGAAGCAACAAAACTGCTCAAAATCTAAAGAAGGGTACTGAACAACTAACCTGACAAAGTTTCAGCTCAGCTTCAGCTGTGTATTCCGAGAAAAACAGCATTCTAGGATCTCAATTTCAAATCAAAAGTTGCTGAATCATGTTTTGAATTGGGCCTGAATTCAGTGTCCGATACACGTTCTCACTGAGCCGATTCCAGCTACGCGATGTCGAGCACTGATCCGACGAATTATAGCAACCGCGCGCATGTGTGCGTCGTGCAAATGCTGGCGTGCGCTTCGCCGAATAACAAAACGAACTTCTATAATATGAGTTTCCTACGGTGCCTCTTAAGAAGCACTGTTGGAAAGGCCTTCTTTTGTTGATTTCTTCAAAATGACAGCTTGCCAGAAAGAATGATTTCACAGGGAGTTTAGTCCCCTCACTATCTTTCAAACAAGAATGTTTTTTAACAAAAATGACGCCAGTTACTTTTCAGATAACTGCAAATGATGGACTCTAGCTTTAAGATGAATGAATGAATGAATGAATGAATCTTTCAGAATTGTCGTTTGTTATTTACTGTCTTGCCCGGGATTTCCTTCAATCCTTTCTACTATCTCTGCTAGCTTAGTCTGCGTCCGTATTACTTGGCTACGACTAATAGTACACACGTGTCTATTGGAAGTAGCCTCAACCGCTTCTGTAGACGCATAGGATTTTGCAAGTCGTAGCCATTAATTCAGATGTAGCCAAAGTCTAGTACCCTGTCTCTTGTGTTCACTTTCCCTGTGTTTTTTTCTCTCTCTCTGTAGATGGTCTTTCGGGGTGTTCACGTGGGAAGTGTTTTCCCTCGGTGGGTCCCCGTATCCCGGCATCCAAGTGGACGAGAAATTCTACGACAAGATGAAGTCCGGCTATAGGATGAGCTGCCCGGAGCACGCACCCAGAGAAGTGTAAGCTTGATGACGTTAACCAATAAATTGATCAAGCAATTGATCATTCAGAAAATTAATGAATTAACCCTAACGTACCTGAATCCTTCCAAATCCACGTCCCTGTTTCGAGGGATTTCGGCGGATTCAGGATACTTCCATATTGAAAAGGTTGGGGGATTTTGATGGATTCAGGACATGAAGCCTAGCGGTACTGCAGGATTTTGATGGATTCAGGATACCTCCATATTGAGCAGTTGGGGGACTTTGATGGATTCAGGATCTCAACATTTACTCCCGGCTAACTGGTGGATTCTGATGGACTCACTGGCCACCAAAATGTTTTTGCATAGCAAAATTGATGGATTTTGGTGGATTCAGGATACTTTCTAGTAAATTATACCCAAGGGGTTAGGCTTAAAGAGCCCATGCAATGTACTTTTTTTAATGCAATCCTTAAAAATGCACCTTCGTATCCCATGTAACCTTATTTCAATTTTCATTTTTGCATTTTCAAGGGTATTTTGGTGCCTTTTGGATTTTTATGCCGATGCAAATTTCCATTTTTATGATCAAAAGTGTGATTTCATTTCATACTTGTATTTATTTTTCCCCATGCAGCTACCAACTCATGCTGGAGTGTTGGAGTGATGAACCCAAGGACAGACCCATGTTCTCGGAGCTCGCCGAGCAATTCGGGGAGCAGTTGGAATCGAACACGAGACAGGTAAAAAAACCACAATTTTGCCTTAAATTTATTGAACCCCCAAAGAATGATGTCAGCAGAATTTCAAACTACAATCTCCGGAACGCCCTTCTGGTGGTAACAGGTTCAAACCCAACTCCAGTTAATTTCTCTGTTAACTCTTTCAGTGCCCGCGAAATTTAAAAAAATTTAACCCTAAAGTGCCCAACTTCGAGTATTTTTTTTAATTGTTCAAAATTCTCTAAAAAAAAAAAGTTCCAAAGTTTTACTCACTAAATTTGTTGTTGTTGCTCTCTGGTATATCCTTGGTACATTGGAACGTCAATAGAAGTCACGAACATAGTGATACACCCTGAAACACTGTCCTGCACACAGGGGAATTTTTTTCTGCACTTTTGGCAGAAAATACGAGTGTCAGTGCTGCGCCCTCTCGCATGAACTCAAATGAAACAAATAAATACAGGTCGTGCCTGAATGAAAATGATATTATTAGAAAGAGCAAGAGCGCCCCCTTGTGATAACATGCTTACTCTACCTCGTACATGTACGAGGTTTGGCGATTTTAAGTACGAACATTACCTTGTACATGTACGAGGTTGGCAATTTCTAACTAACAAATATACGACTTTGGCACTGAAAGAGTTAAACCATAATTTGATTAAAGTGTGCCTTGTTGGTTTTGTGGGTTATTTGACGTCCGAAATTCAGTCGCGAATGCAGTTTGGCAGCTATACGGGGTGTATCAAAAAAAGGAAAAAACAGATGTAAATATAAATTATAAAAAATCTAATAAATATTTTCAAATAAGTTAAAGATCATGTGAAACACCAGTGTGTCCTCTTTCCAATGATAGCTTGATTGTGTGTCTGTGGCCACGGATGACTGAGCATTCGTTGTTATTCTGTCAAGGGTCAAAACCTGTACTGGGCCAAGTTTTTACCTGGCTAAGATTGCTGGCTGGTTTGTTACGCAAAGGTTGAAGTGGACTAGACTTCCTGCAGAGCTTTGTGTGGGAAAAGAGCAGTGGCCACGTTGAAGGTATTGGGCCATGAGGGGTTAACTTCAGCAATGAGAGTGGTTAAATCACTGTGCCAAATTGACTAAATTGTTTTAAAGAAAAGGATGTCTTCTTTCTTTAAATTAAGCTGTTCCAATTAAGCTGTACCCTTTTGCACAAACTTGGCCCAGTACCAGTTTTGACCCTTGACAGATTAACAACGAATGCTCAGTCATCCGTGGCCACAGACACGCAATCAAGGTATCATTGGAAAGAGGACACATTGGTATTTCACATGATATTTAAATTGCAGTGAAATCTTGATCAGTCAAACTCTGATAACTCAAAATAACTGTTAAGTCAAACCAAGAATATGTTGCCTTCAGTAGTATAACAATGATATACAACCCTGCCTAACTCAACACTCTGCTAAAGTCAAATTTTGAACCTGTTCCCTCGAGGTTTCACTTAACAAGATTTCACTGTATTTTAAAATGTTTATTAGATTGTTTGCTAATTTACCTTTACATCTGGGTTTTCTTTTTTTTGATACACCCTGTAGTAAAAAAAATAATCGCTTACTGGTGCACTTCTTTGTCTTAGTGATTTATATACTGGGTTAATACGATTATTTTTCAATACAGGAGTATATTGATCTGAATATACCCTACCAGGAGGGCCAGTATTGCGAGTTGGACTTTGGAAAACTCTCCATCAATAAAAAACAGGACACCGTCGCAGAAGAAACCGAAACTATGCAACCATCGTCGGACGACAAGACGACTGATGATGCTGCCGTGGATCACTTCCACGACCCCGCGTATCACAAGGGACCCAAGAACGACACGCCGGGTCCCGCGGATGAGAACGTGCCAACAAACTCTTACCAACCCCCGCCGCTACCGGAGAACCGGGAAGGGGGAAGCCGCCCTTCAAGTTCTGAAATCGTCGGGGAGACTTGCCCCCTGCATAAATACGCCGCGATCCCGGAAACCCCGGAGACTCAGGAAAATTTGGAGGGCTCCCCCAAACCCAAAGTGCCATTGCTGGATAGCTTGCCAGAGGATCCATACCGGAGAGGAACTGACGAACAGCTCCATACTTACACCTCCCTGAGAGGGGCACGCCCCGGCACGTTAAGCACAGACTATCCTCCCGCCAATGGCGTCGTTGCTGGGTCAAATGAAAGCAAAGTTGATAATCTGCCCTCGCCAGACGACAGCAATAAACTTCACATGTACGCTTCGATAAAGGGTTCGCGGCCCGATACTCTATCCCCGACAGACCCTGAAAAGGGCCTGGATAGGAACCACTTGTACTCCTCCATCAAGGGGTCGCGGCCCAACACAACCCCCGATGTGACCCCAGAGGTCAAAGGCAAAGATTTTGACCTTCCAGAAGAGGAGCTTTCGCTCTTGGGCGGACCAAAACTTCCCGAAAGGGATTTTCAGTCGATGTCGCTGGGTCGGTCACTCGACGGAAGGTTTCGGGCACAGAAGCCGCTGTTGCCAAAGCGGGATTTTTCGACGACGTCCTGGTCACCGGAGACAGAAACGTTGCTGTCAGGTCCAAAGTCACAGGACGCAGATGCGCAACTGCAGCCAGTTTATGTCTGAGCCCGGACTCCAATGAGGATGCCAGACTAAAGATTTAAATTGCGCAAAAAGATGGAAATAAGACAAAAAAGTTTGTTTGACAAAGGTCTTAGGCCAAAGACTGCTGAAGTTTTGTGTTTCGACTGATACTTTTAGTATCAACTTATGAAAAAAGTACTTGATGGTTTGAATATTTTTGTTTATTTTTGTATTTAGAGATATCAGAATTATATTTTATTTATTTGTAAAGTTTTTAAGTTGATAATTTTGGAGACGACATTTTACTCTGTACTGTCTGAAATGTGATGAATGAGCTACAGTCGTTGCATTGGATACAAGTCTATGCAACGATGTAAATGCTGAAATTTTACAGACCTAAGCAGAACAAAATTGCTTAGATTAAAAAGTAAAAAAAAAAAAAGTGACAACCAGCCAATCCGGTGTTCGATTGTGTTATTATTTGGTTGGTAACCAAACATATATGCTAAGCATTTTTTTAACTAAATAATCTTACTATGAAAATGTTCCCATTTGCCCAGAGGGATTCTTTTGTGTTCCTATTGGCTCCATGCAGGAATAAAATATAGAGGGCGCTTTTGTTACCACTTTCGTAGCTCTGTGGATTGGACACACCGCATGCGCGTACTGGCTTGCGCGCGTATAGCACAAAGTACGCAGGACTTATTTTATTCGGACTGTGCGCAATGCCAAAGCGTCTTCGCGTGAGCGTCAGGCGTCATCGGCAATGCGTTCGAATGTCTCTTCCAGTGGTCTCCCCCAACTCTCCTTTTCTTGCCGTTGAGGGGGTACTTGTGCCTATTCTATATGAAATATTTCAATATGTGACAATGTACAGCTATTTTAACTTAATATTGGTGCTTTAATTTTTAACCTTATAGAGGTTGTAAAACACATGGAGTTGTGGGAGGAATGGGGCAGGGCGTAACATATAGATGCAGCATCAGTAGTTGCTTGTAGTACATGTACTTGTATCTCATGGTTTCTGAAAATAAATTCAACTCCAAAGAAACCATGAAATAGAAATGAATACAGAGGGAACTGTAGATATAAATAGCATAAGCAGAAACTTGAATATTTCATTGAATATTCTTTATATAACATTTTTTTACTCAGCATTTCAAAATTTGAATTTTTGAACATTTTTCTTGATGCATGCATGTTTCATCAGAGAGGTCATTTGTCAATTGATAGGTAATTGATTTTTAAATGTTTAAATATTCATATATTTTTAATCTTGCCATAAGGAATTTTTGTCATTTTTAAAGACAATGGTTTTATTTTAGACCTGGTGCTATTGTCTCATTTGAATCAGTGTTTCAAAAATCTTTTCAAACTTTCTGTGACCTAAGACCCATGACACATGCAGTTTGATTGGCCTTCAGACTTAGGGGTGAAATGGTTTGAGCTAGGGTCAGATAGTTTGACGTGTTGGTTTCATATGGTCTGATCTGGGGTCAGATGTTTGATCTGGGCTCAGACGATTTGACCTAAGCTCAGATTGTCCAACTTGGGGTCAGATTGTCTGACCTGGGGTAAGATGGTTTTGACCTGGGGTCAGATATTCAACCTGGGGTTAGATGGTTTGATCTGGGGTCAGATGGTCTGGCCTGGGGTCAGCTATTCGACCTGGGGTTAGATGGTTTGATCTGGGGTCAGATATTTGACCTGGGGTTAGATGGTTTGATCTGGGGTCAGACTGTTTGACCTGGGATCAGATAGTTTCAGCTGGGATCAGTTGCATTGAACCTGGGCTTGGCTAGTTTGACATGGGGTCAGATGGTTTGACCCGGGGGTCAGATAGTCAAAAGCCATATGGTATGACCTACATATTGTTTTTTGGCCTGGAGTAAAATTAATTGACCTTGGGTCAAATTGTATTTTCATAGAATTCCAAAACATCAGTTGGATATTCATGCAATGACATGTGTACCCTGAGCTTAGCCTCTGCTCAAGTCTGGAAATATGGTTTCTCTCTTATTCTGAGTTTCTCCCCATTTTAAGTAGGGGAAAACTTGAACACATATAAACCTCACAATAAAGTCAACCAACTCGAACAGAAATGAATGGACATATCTGTCTGTAAAGTAGGCCTGTAAATATTTTATTTCAGAAAAATATTCAACAGCTTTTACGATACATTCCTTTTATTCTGTGAATAGGTGAACATTTATTATCCAAGAATTTGTTTTTTGACGTACAATTAAAACAGCTGGACTATCAAAACGACTGTCAAAAATTTCACAAGGATTTGTGTTTTTATTGCGTATTAATACTTGTGTTTAAATGTCCCTCGTCTTTGCTTCAAAAATATTAAAATACCAAATACATTGTAAACCCATATTCACATGCACTCTTTTTCATGTTTATATTTTTAATTAACACATTCACAAATGCCCATATATATGTGCGCACTTTATACATTTTACATATATTAAAACTAGTAATTCATTCCTGAATGCATATTTCATAATCATGCAGATCTTTTTCATCAGAGTATTAATACTAGCTATTAACACAACTATAATTAAGGCCAAAAAAAACAATTTTCGTTTTTAAATTTCACAACAAAACCAAAATATACAGGTCAACAACACAAGCTAACAATACCTGTCAAAATAAATAAACTAAAAACTTAAAATATTTCTGAAACCTATATTCACAAATTAAAACCAAAAAAAATCCCTGAAAAGTTTAAGCAAAATCTAATTTTGACCATTGGTCAACTAAAACTTTACTTTGCCAATTATTACAAGATGCTTCACATATACCAACTTGGTGTTGGTTTGTTGTGGAAAAAAATTTGACTCAAACCAGAGACCTTGACAAGGTCAGACTACAGACACACACCCATACACTGACCACACCCATTCTCTGACAAAACCCTTGAACTAACCACACCCATAATGAAGATACCAATACTCTGAACACACCCGTACTCTGACCACACCTATACACTGACCAAACCCTTAAACTAACCTCGGCCATACCACACCCATACTCTGACCACACCCATATGCTGACCACACCCAAACACTGACCACACCCTTAAACTAACACACCCACACTGACCATGCACTGAAGTAAAATAATGCCAGGGACAAAGCTGTAAAGACCAAGCCACGCCCAACATTTGTACACATGAAGGGATGAGAAGTCCAGAACAGATACACTGTCTAGTCCACGCCCGACCACACCCAAGCCACGCCCTAATGGCGCCAAGCTATGTGCAGAGCCACCAGGCTGACAGGGCAAACACTGCAATCCCATTAATGATGGCCATGACGTAGCTGGAGTGGAAAGTGTGCCCAGATCGCTTGCTGAAAGAAATGAAATGAGAATAACTGAAAACAAATTTGAGGTAAACGAGTTTTAGAGTGTTCAAAACTTCTTTTGAAAGTTTGCGTGTCTTCTTCATATGCTTCAACTCTCAGGACAACTTCAACTATAATGAGGTGAATTGTGACAAACAAATTGACTTCGAGGAGGTTGCATGTCGTCTTTAAGACTTACCGGAGTTTTTTGGGCGAGAGGGGAGACGGAGGGAACTGTCCGGGCTGGAGGGAATCCTGGTACGTGATCCCCCAGGAGAAAAGTAAACACGACAAGCCGAGCAGGAAAGAAACCAGCAGGGACCACAGAAAACCTGCCAGAAAATAAAAGAAATCAAATATGAGACAAGTGACATTTTAAATTTTTGAAGCATTTCAAATTTGTCAAGCATTGATATCTGCTGTCAGGTCAAAATTGTTAAAATGGTGAAAACATTTTGTGAACATCATGCATGATTATGATAGTCATCTCTGTGGCAAGATTACCATATGCAAAGTTCACTAATTTTCCTCTGTATTGACTAACAAGCCCCCAGATAGCAATTTCATGTCATCAACGTCAATTTGAGGAGTGAGAAAATACAAGCATTTTCTTAGAAAACACTTAGAATTTTTCAGTCCAATCCCATATCCCATAGGGTTTGTACACAGGGTGTTGAGTGAACTTCATATATGGAAATCTTTCCATTTCTGTTTTCACACTGGACTTTTTTGGTAAAACTATTAGACTGTTTGTCAACTTTACAGAGAATGTTGTTACTTTTACCAAATAAAGTCCTGCTCGAACAGCTGGTTAACTTCCTAAAATAGCAATGTTTCAACTGTCAATTGTAAGTTTTAGAGTCCTCAGCGGTAAGTTTTACAGGGCCAACTGAGTCACGGCAGAATTATTTTGTAGTTTTACGCAGCGAATGGCTGTCCACTGGCTGAAGTTAATCCAAGTGCAGAGTAACCACACTGCTGCTGGAATCTTAACAATTACTCTCGGAAACTCAAGCTACTTTTTACAATGCGAACGTGGCTTCAGTGTCATGATTTTCTCACCCAAGGAAAGGCCAAGGAAAGGTACAGAATCGTTTTCCTGGTTCTTTGCAACTTCTTCTCTGTCCCACAATTCAAGATACCACCTCAAGAACAAATTGTAACCTACAAAACAAAGGAAAAATAGAATTTTACAATAAGTTGCAATTACAATTAATCAAATAAACAAATAAGCTCCACATCTGGCTTTTCTTTTATTTCAATTAATATCAATTCCTACGTGTTTGTCATGATTGACAATCATTGAGGTATATTTCGGAAGGGAAAATGGTAGCAAAATATTTATATTACAAAAGAAAAATATTTTCATTACACTTTAATTTAAAAAAAAAAACACGCTACTTTGACTTGTCCACTATGTTCACTGTTAATGTTATTTGTCAAATTTATACCTTCGGTTTTAATCCATTGCACAACTAGAATTAAACAGATCAGACATGCACATGAGACGAGAAACCGATGCGGCGAACCGTCGTCTTCCGCAAGCCCACCCGGCCAGGAGAACCTCAAGCGGTCACGGTGAGTGAAGTCCGTGGGTATCAGCTCGGTGTAGCCTGGCCGCTCCGACGCGGTCGGTGGGCCGCCCGCCTCGGGACTCGTACCACCTTCCAAGTTATGAGGGTGTTTTCCGCTTTCTGGAATCCGATCTGATTTAAGTGAGTCCCCGGTTTTTGTAGCTTCATCAGTTTCTTCATCAAAGTCCAGTGTTTGGACGACTGGGTCTTTATTGCGTCTTTTTCGTGGCATTTTTTTTTCAATTTTGGACGTTCACTTCCTTCCACAGTTCAACCGGACGCTTCCTCAATGTTTTGTTTTCCGATCAAGTAAAACTTGAGGTCACCGTAAAAATGTTAGGACGCCACCAAGCGACTCATCCACAAAATGGTAAGCATGTGTGAAATGAACGTAGTTACTTTTCTCAATTTTCAGCCTTTTTGGTGCTTTAAATGTTAAAATTTATACCAGCATATGATAGAGGAGATTACTTAGATCTCATTTAGTAGATGTATTGATTCATGAAGCTTATTTTTCGGGTTGAAATAATCAATAGAATATCGGTGATTTTGGTTGTGGGGGCCGCCATCTTGTTTGTATTGTGATTTCGTCTGAATGATTGTGCACGTGAAAATGTTCACTGTAAAATTAAACTCTATCGAATGACAGCGACTGAGTTTAACATCGAAAATGGTTTTGTATGAACCTTTCTGTATGTACATTAATCAAGGTTCTAAAAAAATAGGCAGTGGCTATTGTTACGGCAGCCGTAACGCATTTCCCATTTTCTATCGTTACGGTAGACTGCAACCTGGCAACTTTTATAAAAAAACATGACAAGAAAATAAAAAATTAGAAGGAAAAAAGTGAATTTGAACTTTATGAAATTCGGACTTTATTTCCCTTTTAAAAAAAATCCTCCAAAGCCTCAGGTTAGAAAAGGAAAAAAATTTGAGTGCAAAACTGAGATTCGAACCCTACAACCTCGCGGTGCAAAATCCTACTCTCTATCGGCTGAGCTGGCGCACTGCTCGATAAAACGTGTGGAAACAAATAATTATATACCTGCGTGCGTATCAAAAAAATATCGTAGAGGGCGCTAAACAACGAGTGCCGTAACGATAGCCACTTCGAAAAAAATATACCAACTAAAGACCTACTCACCGAGCCTTATTGCCAACCACTTTTCCACAGAATGTTAATTATTTCTCCAAATTTTACACAGGATACCAGCACTAATTCCAGTGGAGGGGGCGGGGACTCCCACCCACCCCAACAGCAGCCACCGCAAATGTTTGGCAATCGACCCCCCATGATGATGCCACCATTTGTAGTAAGTAACCAGGCTTAAAGTTATTACTTAATATTAGATAATTGAAATTTAAAAGAAACTGTTTCTTTGCTTGGACAAATTTTCTTAAAATAGTCATAGAAATATAAACATTTGAAAATTAATAGATTGCTTTGCAGGTCTTCACGTACCGGTATTATTAAAGAGATAGGCCTACAGTTACATAAACAGCAATTTATCCACTTAGAACACAACATTTTAATGTAAATTTCACGAGTCAAATTCCAGTTAATAAAAGAATCTTTCACGCTTTCGTTTTCTTCAACAATTCAACCAAATCAAAATGTCGGTTTTATTGAACATATGTTACAGTTTCTCAGTGCAATTTACTGCGAAGTCAACGGTTGTTTATTCTTTTGAGTACACAATTATTTTAATTAGATCGAATAAAACAATACTTTAGAATGCTCCACTTTTTAGGCTATTTGTATCGGCTTGTTGTATGCAGATTTTTAAGATTGTCAGTTTGATTCCTATTCCTAACCACAAAAGAAAACAACACGGCAGAATTTACTGAAGTTATTGAACCACCAACATAGAACTGGATAGCTCAGTTGGTAGAGCACTGGAACAGCAATCCTGAGGTCGCAGGTTCAAACCCTGCTCTGATCACTTAATTTTTTTAACTTCAAAAAATCTTCTTTATTTTTTTACTTTTCCCAAAACAGCCTCCGAACCCAAACATGCCACCGCCGCCCTTCAACATGCCCCTACCGGGCCAGTCCAACAACAACAGCAACCCGCCGGGAATGATGAACCGTATGCCCATGCCCAATTTCGGCGGGCCCAACATGCCCCCCATGGGCGGTATGCCACCGGGGGGTATGCCCCCTGGGTTCCCCGGAATGCCCCCCAGGATGCCCCCTATGAACATGCCACCGGGCATGTTCCCCCCTAACATGGGGGGCTTCAATAGGATGGGGGTGCCGGGGGGTATGGGTGGACCCGGAGCCCCCGCACCCAACGCAGCAAAGGAGGATTCTGCTGATGCACCCCTGGATGCAGGTATGTTAAGAATTTTTTTTTTTTAAGATGTTGATTTGCTTTTACAAGAACTTTTTAACAAACAAAAAAATACATATTTGCCAATTCAAGGAACAGCAATCCAATTATTCTGAAGCACATTATTAAAAATGTGACCTGTCCAAATTTCAGCTCAGTAGACACATTTTTGAGAAATATTCATTTTTTTTTAAGCAAAGCAAGGTTTTTGTTGAAAGCCATCTCTCCCGTCTTAAATAAAACAATTAATAGATTGTATTGCTAATATAGTGTTTCCATGGTATCAATAATCTCCAGCGCTTTACAATTATACCCTGTTTGTCAGGCCTCACAGGTCCCCATTCATACTCCTGGGTGGAGAGAAGCAATTGTAGTTAGGTGTCTTGCCCAAGGGCACAAACACCATGTTCCTGGTAGGATTCAAACCCATGCACCATCGTCCATGAGTCAAACACAAGTCAAACACCATTCTACAGTGTAGGGAATCTCCGGCTGCGGACCCACAAAACTCTGAGCAAACCTGGTATTAATTTCCATTCACGCACTTGAGGTATAATTTTTATAAAATAGGTCTCAAAATGTGCCAGACATCAAGGTTTGGCACAAAAAAGCACAACACTTTTTTTTTCTAATAAAAATGATTTTCGTCTTTTCATCTTGCAGAGAATAATCAACAAAGTGATGCGGCTGCCAAGGTTTGTATCATATCATTTTTTTTTTTTTTTTTTTTTCCTTTACAATAAAAGTCCCCATTTCAGTGGTCAAGTCTCAATTAAAACCCCCTAGTACTTCCTCAGGACTACCCTGCTAAATCCAACAGAGTCCAACCGGACTTTCCTGCTCAATCCACTGTGCCTCATGTTCAGATGTCTGCTGAATCCAACGGAGTCCAACTTGACGTTACAATGCGGTTCAGTTGCCTGCTGAATCCAACATTTTGCATGAGGAATGTACACAAGGGGTTAACTGCTCAATCCAACAGGCTCCATCGGGTACATGACATAGTTGGATCCTGTTTATTTAGCAGGCTTAGAGTTAAAGTTGGTTGTTATCAGGCATCAATAAAGTACTCTCCATTTTATGGTGGATGGAACAGTGTTTAAAAGCTAAACATTTTGTTTTATAATTTTTTGTTATCTAAATTTTTAGGCTACTGGTTCCAGCACGCCTACAGATTCATCAACGGCTGGAGGGGAGTCTAAACCAACCAAGGTAATATTCTATCATAAAAAAAAATTATTTCTGATTCAAATTGACCATTCCAGAGGCGAAAAAAAAAGAAGAACAAATGTAAACCTCATGTTTTATATAATTTTTTGATAACAGAAACATAATTGGGCAGAACACAAGGCTCCGGATGGACGAACGTACTACTACAACAACATCACCAAACAGTCGCTGTGGGAGAAACCGGACGAGTTGAAAACCCAAGCTGAGGTAAATTAAGTGCCCAACAGAAGAAGAAGTTTCCAACAGTCGAATACAAATTATTGCAAATCAGAGAATATCCAGGAGGGTTAAGCCCGGTTCATACTCGGCGCGAAAGCGAACGCGAATTTGTGACGTAATGGCAAGTATTTGCGCTGCGAATTCGTAAAAGTTGGAACATATTTCAACTCGGGCGAATTTCGCAGCGAATGTTTTATGACGTCGAATTCGCTTCGCATTGGCATTCGCGTGGAGTATGAACCGGGCTTTACACTCTCGTTATGTATGGGACATAGCCTGCGCGAACTCTTGGATTTGCCCAAAAATGATCTAGACAATGTTTCAAGGTTTTTTTTCTTTTTGCAGCTTCTTTTGTCTCAGAGCACTTGGAAGGAGTACAAGTCGGACACGGGAAAGATTTACTACTACAACTCCAAGACCAAGGAGTCAAGATGGACTGTGCCCAAGGAGTTGGAGGAACTCAAAGGTTTGTGACCAAATTTGATAATTTGTGTTCATCTCAATGCAGCAACAGTGATTTTTTTAATGAAAACTGATATAAATGCCTCCCGCCGAATTTTTTCCTTGTTGTTTCTGTCACTTTTTAATCAGTGTTTATATTTTTTCATTACAGCTATGATTGCTACAAAACAGTTGGACAAGGAATCGTAAGTTAATGGCTGAAATATTCTTGTAAATGAGCAGTACAATTTATGGGTTTGATTTGACAAATCCCCAGATCATGTCATGTTTGATGTTGTGCCTATTGGTTGCTGACGGAACCAATATTTTGATAATTGCGACATTAACAATTTAAGATCAATTAGATTTTATTGTATTTTTGCTTAAAGGGAATATACAACATTTGCAAGCATCAAAAAACAAAACTACCAAATTATTTGTTAGTGAATGACAGTCTTAAGCATCCTGTAAATTCATGGCACCTGGTGTGCTGCCGTTTTCAAGAAATGTAGTATTTGTGTATCAATTTCCAACGCTGGTCGGCCAATTAGCGTTGGAAAAAAACTGGCTTTTTTTCAAACTCTGCCTACAGTTTACCATATTTAGTGAGTCCACATTTTGTTTGCAATCGATTAAACAACCGGTACAAGCCAGCTGGACTGGTTCCCTGACCTTACAATCCCCTGACGTCCATAAATTGCTCCGTTTCATCGTAAGTTGGGTCAAGGAACCAGACTACAGGAACATGATTGTTTTTCTTGTTTTTTTTTCCAGCATCTTTAAACACAAAAGTTCAAACAAGTCAGTGTAACAGTATTTGCTTTAAAATACTGACCCCCAAATCCATCAAGATCTGAAAAATTCAAAGAGGCAAATGTTGTATACTCCCTTTAAAAAGTCGGTATAAGGCAAAAAAAAAAAAATATTCGGTCTCTGGTCAGACCAAAGTTCCGGAATTGACGCGGGGACGCGGCTTTTTTTTTTTTTTTTTGCCTTTTTTTTTTTTCTTCAAGCTTGGATTGTACAGACAAGGTGGGGTACTATTTTGCTATTTGGTGTCCTCATGTACATTGGTGTCCTCCATAATTTGCCTTGGTGCTCTCGATCATTTGCCTTGGTGCAATTTCCCATTCCTTGGTGCTCTTTGGTAAAAAAAAAATGAGGAGGTGCGGCAATAGAGGGCGCTGTTGGAGCTACCGCGGAAGATTTTGGAACAAAAAAAGATTGAGCGCTGACCAGAGACCGACTTATTTTTTTTTTTGGCCTAACATAACTATTTCTTTTAACAATTGTGACATAATAATTTCTTTCATAGGGAGCCCGAAAACAGTTCAGGAGCATCGGAAGATGAGCAGAAATCGGACGCAACTGCCGAAAAGACCCAAGACACCACGGCCGCTTCGGAAACCGCCACCACCAACACAGTGACAAGCCTTCCCAACATGGGCGGGATTCCCAACATGGGTGGCATGCCGCCCAACATGGCCGGCATGCCCTCGAACATGGGCGGCCTGCCTCCAGGTATGGGGGGCATGCCCCCCGCCATGCCCATGGGGGGTATGCCCCCCATGATGCCCGGGTTACCGGGCATGCCGGGCGTTCCAGGCCCCATGTCGGGGCCGATGATGGGGTTCATGGCGCAGCAGGGGGCCGGGGCACCGGCCGCAGCGACGGGTACCGGGAGCACGGTGGAGACCGCTGAGAACACGCCCAACACGAACGTCACAGAGGACGACGGCGAAAGGTAAGTCCTTACTGAGTTTTACTGTAAGCCCAATTTTTATGAAAACTGCTTATCAGTAAACATGCTAATCAGAAATGCAGCTGACTACAAATCAAAAATGCAGCGGAGTACCATCCAAACTAATGTACAGTAATGGCATTTCAGCTGGTAACCTATTTGTGCTAAGCATATTTTTTTCTCAGCTGAGCAAGTTTCTGTGTTTTATTCGTGAAATTAGCCCCAATCGTGTGGCTCCGTGTACTGTAAGCAAAGCATGTCTGCATTACAGAAAGTTTTGTGCTAACGGTAAGCATATTTCACAGACTAGCAAGGAATTTAAGCTTGTCCACATGCGACATCACATAACTCGAGATTCTGTGCTTTCAAGGTTAGCGCGGAATTTTATGTGATCGCACGATAAGCACAGGTGATGAACATCAACGCAAAATTTGCAGTCAATAGCGGAGCCAATATTTAGTAGTTTCTAAGCAAATTTCTTGTAGACTTACAACAGCTTTTTTTTTTAATTCCAGCTCCAGTGATTCTCGCTCCAACACGCCTGACATTAAAGAAGTGGTGTATGCCACCAAGGAGGAGGCCAAGGAGGCGTTCAAGGCACTGCTCAAAGATAAGGTAAAACCAAGATGTCGCCTTTTCTTTTCGATGAGGGGAGTTCAAAATTTGTATTGGAGAACATGGATGTAAAAGGGTTCATCACAAGTCCGTTCATGAGAAAAACAAGTTCCATTCACAAGTTCAGCGACAAGAAACAGGGGATGATCAGTAATGAAGGAATGCATTCGTCAAAGTTGAAAGGCTCGTGACTTGACTTGGATGATTTGTGATGGACTTGGGAAGGCTTGTGAGGGCTTGTGAGTATGTCGGGTGACTTGTGAGGACATTGGGTACCTTGTGAGGACTTGTGAGGAATTTTTGAGGACTCTGGATAACTTGTGAGGACTTGTGTGGATGTGTGAGGACTTTGGGTGACTTGTGAGGAGTTTGGGTGACTTGTGTGGACTCTGGGTAACTTGTGAGGACTTGTGAGGACTTTGGGTAACTTGTGAGGACTTTCGGTGACTTGTGAGGACTTTGGGTAACTTGTGAGGACTTGTGAGGACTCTGGGTAACTTGTGAGCACTTGTGTGGACGTGTGAGGACTTCGGGTGACTTGTGAGGACTTTGGGTAACTTGTGAGGACTTGTGAGGACTTTGGGTAACTTGTGAGGACTTTCGGTGACTTGTGAGGACTTTGGGTAACTTGTGAGGACTTGTGAGGACTCTGGGTAACTTGTGAGGACTTGTGTAGACGTGTGAGGACTTTCGGTGACTTGTGAGGAGATACACATTATTGTTAATGTTTTCAAACCATTGTGAGTGACCGTGTCAGGCGGTCGACACTTGCCGTCATATAGAATGACTCCTAGAGTCTAGTCAATGGAACGTTGATACATACAGTTTACAAGTCTGAAACCGCAATCTGTTTTGGTCGACTAGAGTTGCTCCTATTTTCCTTGGCATGACTCTTTGCCGCTAGTCTGAAATGGAAGTGAGGCCTCGGCCATGCCCAGGAATTGCCCTTCGGCTGAGAAACGCTTGTATAAAAATGTACTTTTTGTGATGTCTTTAGACAACAATTCTTCAAATTTTAACTTTAACACAAATGCTATTACAAATTGTATGCAAGAGCGCCCTCTATCAATAATGCCAAAGATCCTTCTGTTGAATAACATATTGTTGGATTTGTTTGACCTTTGTAGGGTGTTTCCTGCAATGCTAACTGGGATACCGCCATGAAGATGATTGTCAACGACCCAAGATACAAGTAAGTTTGTTTTTGTTTGTGTTGTTTGTTTTTGTTTGTCAAAAACATGTTGTCAAAAGACATTCAGTTACAACACATTAAACTTAAATGAGCCACACTCAATTGTACTTTTACAGCTTTGTTAATTGACTATTAGGTCATCATTCTTCACTAGCTTCAATGTCCCTTCTAATTTTTTTCTTCAGAGCTCTCACAAAACTGAGTGAAAAGAAGCAGGTTTTCAACCATTACAAAGTCCAGCGGAGCAAGGAAGAGAAGGTAAGTTTACCGAGACTGGCATCTGCCCTTGCAGAAACAATGGACCATTCCGGATTTGGCCATAAGCCCCACCCACCATGGTCACCTGACCCAAAAGTTGTGATCTAATTGGTCAGTGCGCAATGTTTGATAAACAGCCTGGAAGGGTCCATTCCAAACTGGGTAGAGTCAATTCCAAAATATTTCATTTAGTTTGTGATACATTTTTCCTAGCTCAAGGAATAATGGCAAGCTTTTTACATTGATAGCTGTAATGTCATTAATTTATGTTTTTTTGTGTCAAAATGTCTTGTAAACTTGCCAACTTTTTCAATGTTCTTGGTTTTTTTTAGGAGGAGCAGAGGCTGAAAGCCAAGAAAGCCAAAGAGGATCTGCAGCAGTTCCTGGAGACTAACCCCAAGATGAACTCCAACGTCCGCTACAGGTGGGTCACTCACTGTACCCATGAGATAATCCCTTTTTAAGACCATATTTGTTCCATTTTACCCTAATCCTGCCAGAAGCAACACAGCGCAACAGTTGTAAAGGTTGCAGAGCATTTAACTTACTTTGTCACGGCTTAATAACTCCGCGCAGGCAACGTACCACAAAGTGCACTCTGTTTTGCTTAAGTTTTGAATTGCTCCAACATTTGTCAGTCAAAATTGGTTAAAGGTGGTGAGAGCCCCTTTAACCACAGTTGAACTACTGACCCTGAAAATCCTAGCCAAACCGTAGCCCTCTGACAAGAACCATATGTTTGTGTATTAATAAAATCCTTATAGCGAGTCTAAGCGGCCTTGCTGCAGGACAAGGATAATTGTTATTATTATTATTATTATTATTAATCATTTCTGGTAATGAAACCAAGGATTCCTCAAAAGCGCCCTAGGCACTGTAGCTCGCAAGCCTGAAGAAACCTGTAGAGAGAAGACAATGAGAAGAAGTTACAGTTTTAGAGGTGGGAGGAAAAGCCCAGAAGAATATTCCGAGGAAAACCCACGGAATCAGGTAGGGACTGAAAACCCAATCCACATATTGGCCCGGGCGGGATTCGAACCCGGGTCACAGCGTTGGAAGGCGAGGAAAGTACCGCTACGCCAACCTGACTCCCCAATCAGTCATCATGTCAACAAGACTAGTCAGGAAGCTGAATTGACGGCTGTTTTTTTTTCTGGTTTTGGGGGTTTCTTTTTGTTGGGAGATGGGTTTGGTGCCTTTAGGTGTACTACAAACTCGCAGTAGGAACCAGGAACTCGGTGGTGGAAAATGTCATACTTGCACCGAAGGTTCAATTGAGTTGCAGTGATTTATAATTGATATTATATTTTCTTTTCTGTGATGCTCGCGACACAGGAAAGCAGACCTGCTCTACGATGATGAGGAGCTCTGGAGGGCGGTCCCCGACCGGGACCGGCGCGACCTCTACGAAGACGTCGTCTTCTTCCTGGCCAAGAAGGAGAAAGAGGAATCCAAGTCGCTGAGGAAGCGGAACATCGAGGCCATGAACGCCATCTTAGACAGCATGCCCAACGTGACGTTCCGGACGACCTGGACGGAGTGCCAGCAGCACCTGATGGAGAACCCGACGTTTGCCGAGGACGAGGAGTTGATGAGTAAGGGGGAAGGGTTTGGATTAGACAGGGGTAGGGTTTGGATTGGGCAAAGAAGGGATGGGTGACCGTTGGCTGATGGCTAGTTAGATCATAGAGCTAGCTCGGGTGAGGACTGATAGTCAAAATAGTTGTTTGTGTCGTAACATACACAAAAACACACATCTTTACATTACATACCCAGTGTGAACATTACTGCAAGTGAGATGTAAATTTCAGACTTTGATTAATGGAGGGCATGTGTGGTCTAGCGGTTGGGCACAGGATTCATGATCGTGAGATTGTGGGTTCGAGCCCCGCCGTGGCCGTGCGTGTTGTGCCCTTGAGTAAGGCACTTTACCTCAATTACTCCTCTTAACCCAGGTGTTATATGGGTACCGGCACTATTCAATGCTGGGAAGGTAACAGACTTGCCGTGGAGGAGGTGTGGCGATCCCCCCACAGCAGCATTTCATGGACTGGAGTCTGGCCCAATCGCTTTGAAAGGCAGATGGGCACTCTGTCCCTGTGAACACAGGTTCGTTCCGCACTCCCCCCCCCCCCTCCCAATGGAGAGGGGGGCGGAGAAATAGGGAAATCACATTGGGCAAATATTGAAATGAATTCAAAGGAGTGTTCAAAATAAATAAGAAGAAGAAGAAACATTTATATAGCGCCAAAGTCTGCATAAGAGATGCTCGGGGCGCTTCACCAAAATACACAAATCTGAATCATTTGAAGACGTCTTCTAGCAATCTCCTCAAGTTTAATGCGATTGAATTTGTCTTGTGATGACAGTCATGGACAAGGAGGATGCTCTGATCTGCTTTGAGGAGCACATCCGCCAGTTGGAGAAAGAAGAAGACGAGGAAAAAGATCGGGAGAAGATTGTTCTCAAGAGGGGATACCGCAAATGCCGGGAGGGATTCTTGGTAAGTGGGTGTGGGGAGTTTTGAGACGGGGAGTTGGGTCTAGATTTGTGGGAGGAGGAGGAGGAACAAGACAGGGAGAAGATGCTAGTCAAGTGGGAATCTTAGTGATTGGGTTTGGGGGTTGGGGTGGGGTCTAGATGAGGTAGGAGGAGGATGCAATAAAACAAATGCTTGTTGAGAGACAATCCTTATCGCACATCCTGAGAAGGAATTTGCGGTGAGTGTAGGATTTGCAGGAAGGAGGGAGGGGCTTGATAGGTGGGGGAGTACGCAGTGAGATGGAGAGACAATCAAGAAAGGATCCTGCAAATATGGGAAGGGACTCCTGATAATGTACAGATTTTATGGGGGCAGAATAGATGAGAGGAGAATGGAGTAAGACAGAAGAGTCTTGTCAAGGGATTCTGCAAATGTTGGACGGAAGTCTTAATGAGCTTGTGTAGGTTCTTGTCAAGGGATTCTGCAGATGTTGGAAGGAAGTCTTAATGAGCTTGTGTAGGTTCTTGTCAAGGGATTCTGCAGATGTTGGAAGGAAGTCTTAATGAGCTTGTGTAGGTTCTTGTCAAGGGATTCTGCAGATGTTGGAAGGAAGTCTTAATGAGCTTGTGTAGGTTCTTGTCAAGGGATTCTGCAGATGTTGGAAGGAAGTCTTAATGAGCTTGTGTAGGTTCTTGTCAAGGGATTCTGCAGATGTTGGAAGGCAGTCTTAATGAGCTTGTGTAGGTGCGTGAAGAAATAGCTGATGAACATTGATGAGAGGAGGATTGCATTAGAGAAACAGTACTGGTTTTTGGATACTGGATTTGGCAAATGTAAGGAAATAATCCTGGTAAGTTTGGGAAAAGGTGTTGGGGTTAGCTGAGATGTAAGGGGGATGGGAGACGGGAGATACTTGTTTAGAAAGAATCAAGGAAGCTGGCAATGTTCAGAAACATTCTCGATTTCAAGAGGTGGGTTAAGAAAGAAGGTGTCTTTCAAGGGAGTAGTTCGGAGTGTGATATCTTGCATCACTGGTTTGATCGGCAATTTCTCTTCTCAGGTTCTCCTGGATGAGCTTCACGAGCGAGGCCAGCTGCACTCCATGTCCCTCTGGATGGATCTCTTCCCTGTCATCAGCTCAGATCCTCGCTTCAACAACATGCTTGGAAACCCTGGTAAGTCTGGCAAAAAAAATAAAGCTAAAAGAATTTTGCAATTTGGTTCTAACCCCCCCCCCAAAAAAATGGACTAGGTTTTCCCTTTGTTGTATTAACATGTCCTGAAGCTTAAAAGCTGACTTGGGAATCTTGCTTGTTTTTGTGAGCAGTTGTGGTAAAGTGTCTTGCTTGAGGACATATACATTTGGGAATGGATTAAACTTTCCCTTTTTTGGTATTAACATTTCCTGAAGCTTAAAAGCTGACATGGGAATCTTGATACATGATTTTGTGAGCAGTTGAGGTAAAGTGCCTTGCCCAAGGACGCAGTTACATATGTATGCAGGCTGCATAGGAAACTACCTCTTGATGAATGGTTTGTGATTGAATTGTTTTTTTTGCTAATGCTTTTCTTCACAGGTTCCACGCCACTGGATCTCTTCAAATTTTACGTCGAAGACCTGAAATCACGCTTCCACGACGAAAAGAAAATTATCAAAGACATCCTCAAGGTTTGTTAAAAGTTTGCACCCTTGGTTTTCCTGATATTTTTTTTTAATTAATGTGTCATTTTTATTAGTTTATTCACATAATGAATATGTTTACTCCTGTCGACTTCATTAGCTCATGGTCATGATTGTTGGTTGATTATTTTTTTCAGGACAAGACTATGTCGATCGAGATCAACACATCGTTTGAGGATTTCGCGACCACCATCAGCACAGACAAGAGAGCGTCAACGCTAGATGCTGGAAACATCAAGCTCACATTCAACAGTGTAAGACAAGAATTTTTGTTGTAGGAGTGGGAGACTTGATACAGGTCTTTAGAAGGGATCATTTTTGTTGGGGGGGGGGTTTAATTAGCAGTGTTGGGTTTCTTGGGTACTTTTTCTCAAGGATAAGTTAAAAAATAAAAGTTAGTCATGTACGAGTCCCAGCATGTAATGCAATTTTAAGATTGCAGTCAGTACATAATTTGAGTACAAGTATTACAATGAAAACATTCTTAAATGTTAGTACTTTTTTAAGAACTAGAACGCTAAGGCTTATAAATCTGAGACGTTTGAAATAGTAAAGTACCGTACTTAAGTTTGAGTACTTGCCTATTGCGATAGACACAGCTTGAGAAATATCCAATTACTTGATGCACAAATGGATGTGGAATGTGCAAAGTCTGAGACAAACAAAATTTAACGTACATAATTTCATACGGTTGTCTAAGGAGCATGGCTAACTCGCAAACGGCGAAAGGTCAGTTAGAACCTTAAGTCTTATTTGAGACATTTCAAATCGCAAAAGTCCTTAAGTTTGAGTCCTAGTTAGATTATCAAAGCCTTTTGGTTGGAGTCATGATAATTAGCACAAGTTCAGGAAAAAGTGCTTGAGTATGAGTACAACTTGAGTCATTTCGAGAAGTCCATTGTGAGCAAAACTACGCAAACTCCAGTTGGAGTAAAAGTAGAAATTCCAGAATTCTGACGTTAAAATCATTGTTTTGACGATGCAGATTTGAGTACATGTACAGAAAATGGATACGAGTATTTACGACAAGTACGAGTACAACATTGCACAAAAACAAAGTACTGTTATTTCACTGATTTTGAGGTTATTTTTCAAGCTCATATCTTCTGCTCCCCCTCTTTTAGCTGATAGAGAAGGCGGAGGCCAGGGAGAAAGAACGCCAGAAGGAGGAGGCGCGCAAACAGCGCAGGAAAGAGGGCGCCTTCAAGTCCATGCTCAAGCAGTCGGCCCCGCCCCTTGACATCAACTCCAACTGGGACGATGTGAGTGTTTCTATTACATGTCTAATAATTTAAAGGTATAGTCCATCATTTGTAGTAATTTGTGCATTTTGTTCGTTTGAAGCAACAAAAGTGCTCAAGATCTAAAGAAGGGTGCTGAACAAAAACCTGATGAAGTTTCAGCTCAGTTTTAGCTGTATATTTTGAGACAAACAACATTCGAGGATCTTGATTTCAAATCAAAAGTTGCTGAATCATGTTTTGAATTGGGCCTGAATTCAGCGTCCGAGACACGTTCTCACTGAGCCGATTGCAGCTATGCAATGTCGCCCACTGATCCGACGAATTATAGCAACCGCGCGGGCGTGTGCATCATGCCAATGCTTGCGCGCGCTTCACCGAATAACAAAACGAGCTACTAATTTGAATTTCCTACGGTGCTGCACCGTTGGAAAGGCCTTCTTTTGTTGATTTCTTCAAAATGACAGCTTGCCAGAAAGAATCATTTCACAGGGAGTTTAGTCCCCTTACTATCTTTCAACCAAGTATAATATTCAACAATAATTACGCCAGTTACTTTTTGGATAGCTGCAAATGATGGACTCTGGCTTTAATAGCAAATGTTCTACTTGTACGTAACGCTTGGGAACAGAAGCACGCTCCTCAAAAATGGCTGCCATGCAAACAGTCTAAACCAAACACTCGGCTATAGGCCAAATCTGGTTTGTGAATTGCTCAAACTTTCCTAGCCTTAAAATCCATACTTTTCTTTGCTTTCCCCCATAGGTCCGGGATCGCTTCGTCAACGAGTCGGCATTTGACGGCATCACAGTGGAGTCAGAGAGAATCAGACTCTTCAAAGAGTTCATACAAACACTTGAGGTACAGACAAATTTCCGCTTACATTTTCAAAATGTGCAAGTGCAAATGTGATGAATCAGCTTAGCAAAACAATACCGCGTACACAAAAGTTTTGATTTAAAATCAGGGTACCAACCAAACTGCTATGTCGTGTATGTTACCTGTGGCTGGTTCCGGTCATAGCTAGGGACATTAAAAAATATGTAAGAGGACGCTGTTCATTTGATGACACATATTCTTACTGGGAATTGTGTTGAAAATTCTGCTCTTTTTTGCGGCTGATTATTATTGTTCTATTTAAATTTAAATATCAGAATTTTTAAAATCATGATTGCTGTCTGCCATTTATTGATTGAAACAAGGCACGTATAAAGACAAAAATTTGGAGTCAATGTGAGGTTTAAGCATTTCAGTCATAATCTTCACTCCGGAGTCCCCACTTAATTTCAAATGTTTCTTATGACTTTGTCTACAAAACCACACCAAAAACAAATGTAGAAAATGTATTCAAAAAAAACTATATTAGCACCCTATCATAGCTTTGCTTTGCCCTTCAATTTTCTTGGAATTTAATTTTCAAATCAGGAATGGGCCCAATATCACGGATCTGCTAAGCGAAAAAAAATTGCTTGGCAAAATTTTTCTGCCAAGCACGAATCAGTTGAGAACCGGTCAATGGCACATATACATTGCACGATAATTTTGCTAACTTGATTTCTTCTTTGTTTTTTCAGGAGGCGTGTGCTCATCATCATTCCAAGACTAGTTCCCGGAAACATTCCAAGCAGAAGAAGAAACACCGAAGCCGACGCTCAAGATCACGCTCGGTACGTCCGCCCCCCCCCCCCCCCCTTCACCCCACCCCTTCACCCCACCCCACCCCTACAACCCCCCTCCCACCAAAAATATAAAAATTCACCATATAAGCATCCTTTACTCAAGCAGACCATTCCGTTCCAACCCACCCAGCTGCGGCTAAATCTATTGTCAGCGTGTCCCTGCGTATTTACAATGGGCCTAGACCTAGCTCTGGACAGCTGATTCGGATGTAGCCTTTAGTTTTACCGCCTTTATATGGTCACATGGCTAAAACTTATAATCTCATTGGTCAACACGTCCTGTTTGATTGACACATTTTGACAGGATGGGAGGTTCCATTTGGAGAAAGGGGAAGTCTTACCCATCTGTAGATGAGCATATATGCATGTACACATGCATACAGCTTGACCATATCAAGGAGTTGATTTTTTCTGCTATGTACATCAGATTCGAACCAGCCAACCGATCCCGTTACCTCGGTGGTCGAGTGGTAAGACATCTGCACTAGAAAGCAGGAGGTCGTGGGTTCGAGTCCCACCCGAGTGATTTTTTCCAACTTTCACTCAGGAGGTAACACTGAGTATACAGTGTTTAAACGTCGGTGAAGGGCAAAACCTATAATTTGATTTATATCACCCCGACGCAAAATTCCATCTTATAAGAGTTGATTTTTTGAACACCTTGACTAATTATTGCTAGATTTCACAGAAAATGTGGTTATGAATAGTAAATGAATTATTCAAAAGGTTAAAGGTCAGTGTCGTTTATGTTCAGGTGTCGGACTCGGAAGACGATCGCAGCCGACGGCGCTCCAAGAAGAAGAAGCGATCACGCTCCGCGTCCCCCTCTGAGTCTTCGGAAGACTCGGACATCAGCAGCAAACGCTCCGTCTCCAAGAAACACAAGAAGAAAGTCAAGAAGAGCAAGCGCAAACGCTCGGTGAGTGGACAAGCGGGGGCGCTCTTTCATTTTTGTAGAGAAAACATTGAAAAAAAGCTGACTAGCAATGGTTATTCTGCATTACGTTCTGCCTAATTAAGGCATTTTTTTCTGTTAACATAGTTTAAGAATTAACTTGTCCTCTTTTCTGCATACAAGCTTGCAAGTATGCCATTTTTTTGCATTCTGTATATTTTTTTATAGCAATTTCTGCGTATCATGCTCCCAAATGGACACTTTTTCATCAATTTTGAATTGAAGAATGAATTCTAAATCAATCTGTCAGTAAATCAGTTAGTCAGTCGGTCAGTCGGTCGGACATTCAGTCATTCAAATCTAAATCAATCCATTTCAAATCAATCAAGTCAATCCAATCCAATATGTTGATCAGTATCCTTCAATCAGTGAAATCATGTCAATCATCCTTCAATCATTTTGTTAATTCCATAGCCTTCGACCGGATCCGAATCAGACATCAAAGAGGTCCCCCACCAAGCTGCCCAGCCTGCCGTCCCCCAGCCTCGCAAGCAGGCCCCGCCCACGATACCAGTAGAGACGCCCAAAAAGGAAAAGGTTAGTGTCCCCAAATCATCTCCTTGACTAAATCTTTGATTTCTAGCATTCTGTTTTATGGCACTTAACTTAAATAGCCCACTGTCAAGCTGCCGTTTTCCTTAAGAAAACCTTACTTTCATCCACATCTTCTTATGAACTCTAACAGCCTAGGCAATTTTTGCTAGGATCCATCCTCCATCCTTCAAAATCCTGCAGGTAAATTAGATAGAGTCTCGATCCCCCCCAAATCATCTGTTATTTATTGAATTTGTTCAGTGGAGGGGTGACCACTTCCTCAATCTGTCAAAATCCTCCAACAGTCACTGTAATACATTGAGGCAGTGTGGACGATATCCAGAAGCAGTGTTGATGGCGTCCAGTATAGTGTAGGCCTCAATTATGCGTGGCTATTCATATATGATGCAGGGTACAGCTTACGGGTAGAGTGTATCATTTGTCATTTGTGCAATTTTTTTCGAAGCAACAAGAGTGCTCAAAATCTAAAGAAGGGTGCCTAACAACTAACCTGATGAAGTTTTAGCTCTGTGACTGCTGTATATTCCAAGAAAACAATATTCTAGGATCTCAATTTCAGTTCAAAAGTTACCAAGTCATGTTTTGAATTCCACCCGAAATCAGTGTCGGGGACATGTTCTCATTCAGCCGATTGCAGCTACGCGATGTCACGCACTGAACCGACAAATTAAAGCAAGCGTGTGTGCGTCATGTCAATGCTTAACTGCGCGCACCCACTCTTGAATTACGATACTCCAGAGGACATTGCTTTGTGTAGCCCTTTGTCCCTTTAATATAACACTCTTCCATAGACTAAGCACATGAACCTACTACAGAGGACCGTTTAGAACAAAAGACCCAACTCCCGAGGACTGAAAGGATCCTTTCTTCTCCCTTTGCGTGTCTGTCCTCGGGGGGTTATGTAGAACACTTACACCGATTCACGGCCTAAAACGAATTAAAACCGAAGTACTGTACTTACACACCTTTGGAGATGACCTTATTTTACTGTTTTTATTTGAAAATGACAGCATGCCAGTAATTTCACAGGGAGTTTAGTGCCATTACTATCTTTAACCCTTTCATGCCCACATTGTTTATTGACTTGGCTCTCCCCAGGACCAAATTGTTTGCTCAGTCATGCGGAAATCACTAGAGTGTGAAAAAATGAGTACGAGTCGAAAAAACTCACTTTTTTCAACCCAGATTTTCACTGCCAAGGAGTGATTAAAATCATAGGTGTTGTGTGTAAAGTTTGTTCCTTAAACCCTACTCTTTTATGTGATGTAAAAATGAAGTCCATACGTGTAAATATAAGAAAGTTATGCCTTTTTGTTCATCTGGTCCCAATTATCAAACTGCAAGCCATTTCACCACAAGACCCAATGGCACTCCATACCTCAAATTGTGCGTGGATACTTCTGAAGCACTTTTCTCATTTTTTTTGTAATGGTAACACTATGAATAAACCACACCATTAGAAAGATCCGAAAACACTCTTTCAGCTGGTATATAGTTGATGTATGGGCGGCCAAACATATCAACATGCTGCCTTTCTGAAAGGTAGTGAATATGTCTGTGCTAATGGTGTTTTGTGTGTGGTTTCCTGGTCGACTAAAGTCGCCCATGGGAACCAGCAGGGGGGTACTTCTTGTCGACAAAAGTCGCCCATGGGAAGGAAAGGGTTAAACGAAGTAAGCTTTTCAGCAATAATTTCACCAGTTAATTTTTGGATAGCTGCAAATGATATAAGGATGTGGCTTTGCGTTTAATTTTGTAAACGTTTGGCAAATAATAAATGACCGTTTAAACCTTTAAACATTTAGCCATTCACAAAGGCTGACACTGCTTAGTGTGTCTGCAGACCGGTGTGATTGACATGATAAATCAACAATGGCAGTCATTGAAAATGTAAAAACTTAAAGGTAGAGTCCATCATTTGCAGCCATCCGAAAAGTAACTGGCGTAATTATTGTTGAAAAACTAACTTGGTTGAAAGATAGTAAGGAGACTAAACTCCCTGTGAAATTATTCTTTCTGGGAAGCTGTCATTTTGAAGTAATCAACGAAAGAAGGCATTTCCAACGGTGATTCTTAAGAAGCACCGTAGGAAAATTTAAATTAGTAGTTCGTTTTGTTATTCAGCGCAGCGCGCACAAGTATTCGAACGAAGCACACGCGCGCGCGGTTGTTATAATTCGTCGGATCAGTGCGCGACGTCACGTATAGTTGCAATTCAAAACAATTCAAAAACATGATTCAGCAACTTTTGATTTGAAATTGAGATCTTAGAATGCTGTTTTCTCAGAATGTACAGCTGAAGCTTAGCTGAAACTTCATCAGGTTAGTTGCTCAGTATCCTTCATTAGATTTTGAACTCTTTTGTTGCTTCAAACGAACAAAATGCACAAATTACAAATGATGGACTCTACCTTTAACTACATGTGCCCTGAATGTAATCAAGTATTGAAGTGCTTCGAAGGTTTTGTAAATTATATAGGTTTGAAAACATCATTAAAATAGGTTTGAAAACATCATTAATTATTTGAGCTATGTAGGTTAAACTCAAACAAAACTGCATGAACGGTGAACGTAAATCCCTTTTTCTAAATTCCGTTTTCGTTAAAACGTTTGTGGGACATTTGTATACGGTTTTAAAAATGGGTTTGTTTAAACGTGTAAAAGCAACATCCCTAAAATGATGTACTCTACCTTCAAGACTTGGACACAATGCCTCCTTCAAAATTAAGCAATTGTTGGCATATGCCTGGTTGATTTTAGAGGATTGAGAAGGTTCAGATTTAATGGTCTCTCATACTTCATTAACTTTCACAGTTCTGAATCCAGTGATTTTTTTCACTCACCCTAGGGGGTTAGAGTCAATTACATTGCTTCCTTGATAGTGTCCCTTAGGCATTTATGAAGCTTGAGGAAATTGTAATCTTCGTCCACTCATTCTCATTAAGCATATAGACTCGGTGTCATGGGAGTCCATTAAAGATAAATAACCGCATCAGTGTACTCTCAGGAAGGTCATTAAACTAATTATGGCAACAAAATTGCCTGAAATATCTGCAGTTTTTCCTTTATTTGAAACAAACAATGAAACTAAATATCGTGATGGGCAATTCCACGGTTACTCACGTTGCATTTTTGTAACGTGAGTAACCGATTTTGTGCGTCTTGTTTATCATACAAAACACATTTTTCTGGATGTCATCTTTGGTGCTTAGGTAGGTCTAGGTCTACTCTATCTACCATGGGGATAACAGTTATTAAACATTTTCAGTAAGGGAATTACAGCCCAAGGAAACTCAAAAGTACATCAAAAATGCAACGTGAGTAACCGTGGAATTGCCCTGATCCTTTTTAACTTTTGGGAGAGCTATTTTCTAATCATTACTTGAAAAAAACACAGTTTTATTCATTCTGCACTTGCAGTAATCAGCATCGACTTTATGAATGAATATTCAAAAGTTTGTATTTGCATATGATTGGTGAGTTGCTATGAATATTCATGCATCCTGACCTTTGACCATTCAGACTGGATGGGACACATCGGAGAGTGACCTGAGCGAAGGGGAGCTGGAGCAGCAGCGGCGAGCACTCCTGGAGCAACTGGCCGAGAACCACTGAGAAATCCCCTCGCCGGGTCAAAGGGCAAAGGTCGTGCATATTCAATGAGGTGAGGGTCATCGTCAAAATATATGAGCACTTCATTCAGTTCTTGTTTTACTGTTGGAAAGTGTAATTTCATGCCCATTGGGATGACCTGTCTGAAGATCAGCACTGACAGAGGTCATGCTCAGATGTCAGAGGTCATGCTCGGGTGTCAAAGGTCATGCCCAGATGTCAAAGATTATGCTCAGATGTCAAAGGTCATGCTCAGATATCAAAGGTCGTGCTCAGTTCCCAAAGGTCATGCTCAGTTGTCAAAGGTCATGCCCAGATGGCAAAGGTCATGCTCAGATGTCAAAGGTCATGCTCAGATGGCAAAGGTCATGCTCAGATGTCAAATGTCAGAAATGGTAACCCTGAGCAGAATAATTGACAATCTTTACACAACAGACATATGGCCACTATGTGACCTCTGACCTTTCTGAAGTTTACATATTCATTTTTATTTAGAATGCCAAAAGGTTGGATGGCCACAGTAAGGAGATCAGTGTGCGTGAATTGTTGATTTTCTTCCATGTGAACATTTTTGATCACCTATTTCTGGCAAATTTATGGCAAACAAGGGGAAATGCTTACTTTCCAAAAAGACATTTCTTTAGTTTTATTAATTTCATTTAGACATGAGTTACCTTATTTTTTTTTTTACAATTTTAAGAATTTCTGAAACTCATGCTTGCATCTTAAATGCATCACTTCATAGTGAACAACATTTTCTGTATATATAAGTTGGTCTTTTTGGAGACGGAAAGTAAAATTGGCAGCAATATTCATCATGTCAACCTTGGCTGAATTGGAAACGAATTTTTTTTGGGGGGGGGGGGTTGTCATTTGTTAGTCTTTGATTAATTATAATTGTGAATAAAAAACAACAACTTTTACCGAATCATAATTCTCGTGCTGCCTGCTGCCTCGTTCCTTAAGAGAGTCTTCACACTCCAACATGCATGTGACGTCAGCTGAGGCACTATTTGTACATGAAGATTTTTTTAACTTAAAGATTTCAGAAATCCTATTTCAGGAAATAAACCTCGGCGTAAGAACCATAATCTGACAGTCAGTTTTATATTTCTGTTTTGATATACATTTTTTGAGTGTCTTGACTTGTTTTATGTTTTTTTTATTTTTTATTTTTTTTATTTTGTACCTAAAAAGCACTGTGATGCATTATGAATTAGAAAGCACTCAGAGAGCGCAAACCTCCGCCAAGGCTGAACAATTCCCCGCCATATTGTCAGTACGCCAAAAAGAAATACTCGCATATCCACTCAATTTCCGTATTTTATTGCACCTTCCCCACTCCCCCATAGTATCAAATGGTCTAGTCCATTGACCTGTTGGTTTCAATGGTGTGTTCTCTATGCGCTCATAGACTGCACGCTGTGTTACCCACACACATCTCTTCACATAGCGTATTCGCACATACAACATGGTGACGATAAGAATCCTTTAAAAAAGATTCCGCATCCAGACCCATATCCGGATCACTTCCAAAATCTAATCAATTTGTACTTGAACCAAGGACCACCCCCCAAAAAAATCATGAAAATCCGTCCATAACTTGTTGAGTTATCCTGTTAACAGACAACAAACAAACAAATGGCAATGAAAGCCAAACCTCCTTAGCGGAGGTAATAATTGTATGTCAGTCAGTGAAGGAAAAACAATTTAAATATTCTGGGAACAAAATCATTTACATTTATAAGCCGATATTTTATTTTTTCCCAAACTCAACATAAGTCAGCAATCGGCATGATTTTTCGCTTCCCCTTTCAACGGTGTTAAGGAATTAAGGAATATCGATTGATTTTGCTTGTTGAAAGCTGCATTGTCCATGTTCAAACACAGTCCACTCAAACGCTGAAAATGTGCTCATCCTTGCACCGCGCCGCTGAAAATTGTCTCATCTCAGTCTTATGAATAGTTCTGACAATTCCACCATTTGGTTCTCGATGAGATTTGATTAATTCTCCCCGAGGCTTCACACCTTCAGGACGATTCATATTTTGTCCCATCAAGGTCGACAACTGAGCACACAAACGATCATATTTGTTGTCTCTCAAGTGTTTACAATAAACGAAGCGGTCGATCGCGCACCTGCCAAACCGCACGAACGGCAATCTTTAATGGACTGACCCATTAGGCCCCACCCACTGCACACGTGGGCAAAAAACACGTGCGCCTCTCCAATACCGCCCTGCGTGTTCCAGCTTCGCGCGTCACGCGCGCGTGCACGCAGTAGGGGAGAAGGGCGGATACCAGACTTTGCCATAGGTCTGGGGGTAGTACAGGGCCAATGGGGAGAGGGGCAGGTACCAGACTTTATCCCTCCCCCTTTCCCCCACCCTCTGGCCACGCCCCCACCCCACCCGCCCCTCCCGATATCTCAGCCCCAAGCCAAAACCGGGGCTCAATATCTCTCGTCTTGAAGATCTCCCTCACCAGCCGGTGAGTCTGATTGCTTATAAATCCAAAAGTCTGACCTCTTAAAAAAAATTAAAAAAAATTATATTGATATATATAAATGATGAGTATGATCAAGCCAATCGTTAAGGGATTTTCTAGATGGAATAAAGCCACGCTGCGCGATTACGTCCAGCGATATAATATACCGTACGATCAAAATGTTGCTCTTACGCGTAAAGTCTACATCAACGGGATAAAAAAATACGAAGCTCAATTTAGAAACTTGAGGAAAAAGAAGCTACATGAGCTCAAACAGATTGTAGACGATTATGATCTAGAATATAACCCGTCGGGTTATAAGGGTCGATTTTTGAAAAAAGATTTACTCTCGGCGATTCAAAACTCTAGGCAACCCGAGTATTTTCAAGAGGCTGAGTTTAGAGCGACGAGGAGATTTAGAAATAACTTTAGAAACTGGGAACTGATTCCTAGACTTTTTAACGACGATTTAGTCAAGTTTTTTGATACGCACAAAGATCAAATTGTAAATAAAATCAAGTCAGAATTGAGAGAGCTGAGAGGTTTAAAAATGGAGCTCACAATCAAAATAAAATACGAAAAAACCAAACCCGATGGTACGATCGAAACGATCGAAGCTACACATTTTACCGATCAGAGAGTCGTTTTAAATCAAAGTCAAATAAAACAGGTTTTAAAAGAAGACATCGACCAGATATTTAAAAAGGATGAAAGGTATACGAATCAAGGATCGGGTTGGGTTTTAAAAAAGATAATGGCGTTGTATATCAACATCAACAGGTTTAACCCTGTGAGAGGTAGTTCTTATATTGACCTACCAAAATGTATCAAACAGAAAACGGCGATGATTAACATTAAAAACAAAGACGACGAGTGTTTGAGATGGTGTTTGAGAGCTGCTCTTGGGTTGTATACGGATAAAGTAAAAAATAACATAAAAAACGATCCTAAATATAAAATTCATAAAGAAGAACCTGTTGTATACACCAAAGACGACGGACTCAAATTTAAAGGCATAGACTTTCCAACACCGATCGACCAGATACCAATGATAGAAAGACAAAATAATTTAACGATAAACGTATACGGTTATGAGGGGGAAATATATCCGTTATACGTGTCTAAAAACTACAAACCAGAGTCACGACCTATCGATCTGTTTTTGTTTTCTGAGGGCGACAAGCATCACTACTGCTGGATAAATAACTTTTCGAGATTGATTCACAACGTTACAAAAGATAAAAGTAAGAAATATTTTTGTCGAAGGTGCCTGAGTCATTATAGAACGCAAGTAAAATTAGATAGACACATGGCCGATTGTAACGGTATAGATACACATCCGTCAAAGATTGTATTTCCTACCGCTAAGCAAAAATATGTAAATAACGAGTGGATAGTCGACGAAAACGATGTGCCAACATTAGAATTTAAAAACTACAGGTTTAAACAAAAAGCACCGTTTGTAGTTTACGCCGACTTTGAATCGATATTAGAAAAAAACTCGGACGATAAAAAGAACAACACGCAAAAGACAAACATTCACAAAGCTAGCGGTTACTCGTTGGTAGTAGTTAGATGCGACGGCACCAATGCGTATCAAGAGACTTATAGAGGTAAAGATGCTGTATCAAAGTTTGTAAATAAAATGTTAAAAATACAAAGCGACATAAATTGCATATTTAAAAAACCCCAACCCATGAAATTTAATGAGCGAGCTAAAGAACATCATGATACAACAAACACGTGTTGGATTTGCGAGAAACCAATTTATCCCAATTACTCGAGCAACTGTCAGTGCCAGAAACCCCAAAAACCAAAAACAGAAAAACAAATAAAAGAACATCAGTACGAAAACAAAAATGGATTTACAGAGTCTAAATGCCTCGAATGCAAAAAGAAAATCAACAAATTTAGAAAGGTGAGAGATCACTGCCACGTCACGGGTAGATATAGAGGTACCGCGCACGCCTACTGCAATCTAAAATTACAAGTTAAACCAGGTTTTACCCCCATACCAGTCGTCTTTCACAATCTGCAAAATTACGACGCTCACTTGATCATGCAGAGTATTTCAGAGTACGATGAAAAGGAAATACAAGTTATCGCTAGAAATTCAGAAAAGTATATTTCGTTTTCGATCGGAAATATGCGATTTATAGACTCGTTTAATTTTATGGCGTCTTCGTTGGATAGATTATCTAAAGCTTGTCCGAGAGAGTCGTTTAAACTACTCAGAGAACATTTTAATCGTCAAAATATCGACTCGTTGTTACAAAAAGGAGTTTATCCGTATGAATACATGGACTCGTTTGACAGATTTCAAGAGACCAGCCTACCCCCCATCGAACAATTTTACAGCAGCCTAAAAGACGAAAATATATCGCGAGAGGACTACGACAGAGCTAAACTGACGTGGAACGAGTTTAAAGTTAAAAACATGGGGGAATATCACGATTTGTACGTCACTACCGATACGTTATTACTGGCATGCGTATTTGAAAACTTTAGGAAAACGTGCATTACAAACTACGCGTTAGATCCGGCTAATTACTATACAGCACCAGGATTGTCGTGGGATGCCTTGTTAAAACACTCGGAAATTAAACTCGAACTATTGCAAGACGTAGACAAACATTTATTTTTTGAAAAAGCAAAAAGAGGTGGTATCTCAAGCGTGGGTGGTATGAGATACCACAAAGCCAACAACAAATACCTACCCGACCATAATCCAAACGAGCCGTCGAGTTACATCACCTACCTCGATGCAAACAATCTGTACGGCTGGGCCATGAGTCAATACCTGCCGTACAAAGACTTTAAATGGGCGTCTACAAAAACGTTTACCGAGTCTAAGATATTATCTCTCAGGAAAACGTCAAACACCGGTTACTGCTTTGAAGTAGACCTCGATTACCCGGATAATCTCCACGACCTGCACAACGATTATCCCCTAGCGCCAGAAAATATCGTCATACCAAAAGAATGGATGTCTGATTATCAAAACGAGTTATTGGATACCGAACCTAGTAGCAACGTGCAAAAATTAACGTGTACCCTTAATCCTAAACAAAAATATGTTTTGCACTACGTCACGTTGCAGTTGTATCTCAAACTCGGCTTGAAACTTAAAAAGGTACATCGAGTGTTGCAATTTAAACAAGCGCCTTGGATGGCATCTTACATAGACAAAAACACGCAACTCCGAACAAAAGCGACCTCTGATTTTGAGAAAGACTTTTTTAAACTGATGAATAACAGCGTGTTTGGTAAGACGATGGAAAACGTCAGAAACCGGATTGACGGTTACCTGCTCAGAGACAATAACGATGACGATCGAGATAAATACCAAAAAATTATACAGAAACCGAGCTACAAAACGACGACGTCATTTTCAGAATGCAAATTGTCATTTGTCGAAAAGTACAAGACTAAAACCGTGTTAAACAAACCAATCTATTGCGGAGTGAGTATCTTGGATCTATCTAAGACGCTGATGTACGATTTTTATTACAACCATTTGAAAGACAAGTACAAAGAGAAAATCAGGTTGATGTACACAGATACGGACAGTTTGGTACTCGTAGTGCACACTGACGACGTGTACAAAGATATGCA